CCTAAGCCTCAGTTCTTCTCATGGAAATTGCAACAACAGTACCCACCTCCAAGAGCTATTGTGAAGATTAAATAATCTACATAAAGCAATTAACACACCACTTCCTGGCCCGTAGAAGCTGCTCAATAAATCAGGGCTTCGAACTAGTCTGTTCCTGTTCGATCCCCTGCTGAGAATTTGGAGTTCCACCCCAGATATACTGAATCAGGATCCACATTTTAACAAGACCCCTGGGAATACATAAAAATCACGTGAGGATCTTGTTAAAATGTAGACTCTGATTCAGGCAAATTCCCAGCAGGGAGTCAAACCACAATGAACTGGTTCAAAGCCCTGCAATAAATCATAGCAACCATTATTATTTTCTCAGCTCTGGGCTCTGAGATGTTGTGTGTGCATCAACATAATCTCAATAAGAAGTTTAATTTTGCCCTCCATAGCTTCGTCCCTACCCTGCCAAAGGACTTGGAGTTGATCCTAATTCCTGGCGTCTCACCCAGACATTTCCATCCCCTGACCTCTGGCCTAGGAGCCCTGGTAGCACAACGGTTAAGCACTCGGCTGCTAACCAAAAGATTGGCAGTTTGGACCCACCCAGCAGCTCCATGGGAGAAAAAACCTGGCAATCTGCTTCTGTAAAGATTACAGCCCAGAAAACCCTATGGGGCAGTTCTACTCTGTCCTATAGGGTCGCTAGGAGTCTCATCGGCACGTAACAACCACCACCACCTCTGGCCTAGGTCACCAAGGATCAGGAGGCAGTGCAGGAAGGTGTGTGTGAATTACTGGGAGGAGAGTTCCCATGGACGCCAAGGACACGGGGAAGCCCTAGGGAGCAGCTGTGACTCTGGGTCTCTTCCCAGAGCAGTGAGTGTTAAGGAGAGAAAAGAGACATCAGCTGCTAGACAAACTTTCAGAGCTCAAAATCCCCTTTAGAATAGACACACAGGGCTGAGGGTGATCTAGGAAAGGTACGAAGGCTTGGGATGGAGTGGGACTTCCATAGTGCATCTTGGTATTTCTCTATTTGCTTAGCGAGCAGGTACTTGTTTTAATCAAGTGTGCCACAATTGAGTAGCATTCCTAAGCTTCACTATCAATCCGGAGAGGGTTTCAGCTTCGCCAGACTCCTGGGAAGCAGTTTAGTATTGCAGTTAAGGAACACAAACTTTGGAGACAGGCAAACCTGGATTCAGAACATGACACTGCCATTTACTAGCTGGGATCCTTGGAGAAGTCATTTAGCTGCTCTGAAGCTCAGTTCCCTTGTCTATGAACAAACTATTACCTTACAGGATAGTTTAGAGGTCTGAAATGTAAGTGTCTAATACGGAACAGGGACTAATGCTGGTCACTGTCATCCCTGTAACCTGAGTAAGCATCATCCCCACAGGCAATATAAGGGGCTATGGAGAAGTTAGGGAAGTCCCAGTTGTCTCAAACTCCTGGACAAATTGCCTTGGTCCAGAAACATCCTTGAAGGGATTGAGAGCAGGCCCAGAGAGCCTACCTCCCACGGTTGGGGTATTTTATTTACACTCCACCTTGTTCATAAGCATATCTGAGGCAGGATAACTTGGGGGAGAGCCCTGGATCTCTGCCATCCTCGCCTTTATATTCTCATCTTAGTTCTCATCAGGCCTGCCTCTGACCCAGCCACTTATGTCCACGGGAACTGGAAGACTGGATCTAGCTCAGGGCTCCCTTCCATCTGTTCTCCCATTACTTCCCAGGGCTGGGAGCTGCAGTCTGGAACTCAGCAGATGGGGGGTTAAGACTGGTGCCCTGTCCTATCTCCTCCCCTCCCCGTCCCTGACTTCAAAGTCTCCATAAAGTCCTAATCACCATTTCCCTGACCCCATAGTGGCAGCTCCGTCCTCAGCTCTTGGCTGTTTCAGAACAGCAGACGCTCAGCACTGGTCCGGCAACCCACGCTCCATCTGCAGCCATCTCCTAGGGTAAGCACCAGCATGCTGAGGACCGGTAAGGCCAGCAGTCCCTGCTCTTCCAGGAGAAAAGGGCAAGTAGGACTAGAAGTTGACTCAAGCGGGGAGTTGTCTCATGGTTGGACACTCCACAGGCAGAACCTCTGGTCTGAGGACCAGGACTCTGGGACTCGGTCTAGTTTGTGATCAGAGCAGACATTTATCGGGGTTAGCAAGGAGAGGAATAGGGGCCACCAGCCCAGGAGTGAGGGATTTATACTGGGAAGGACCTGGAAACAGGGTAGCAGCTCAGGGACCACAAGTAAATTTGTTCCTTAAGTATTAATGTGCAAAATCTATGCTGAATTGCACATAAATCAATGTCCAATCATTTAAATCTCTAGCTCTTGTGATTTGGTGTCCAGGGCTGTGGAGCTGTCTGGGATGGCTCTAGCTCCCTGGGGCCACAGATTCTGCTCTGTAGCTCCCTCAGGAATGAACGCCACAGACCAGTCCCAAGGCCAGTGATGGCCCCAAAGTTCAAGGCCTGTTTCTCCATACTCATCTGAGAATTTTTCCAGCTGCTATTCTTGGCCCAGGGATCACACCCATAGGGATGCAGATGGGGGAGGGAGAAGCAAACAGCAAGTCAGAATGAGTGGAGGAAGAGGCACATGTTAGGAAGAAGAGATGGAGAGAAATCGTGCTAGTGGCCCAGCCATATGAGACAGGATACCTGGGACATCTTCCCAATTACAAGCTGTTAGGCATGCTAAGAGAGGGTCTTACCAGGTAACCCCTCCCTTCCACCCCAGGCTGAGGAGTCTAGGGGGGCCAGGAAAATGTCTGCCAACAAAGGCTGGTGGGTGCCACCTGAGGGCGAAGACAGCGTGTCTGAGAAATTCCTGAGGAAGACCAAGGAGTTTCCGCTGGTGCCTGTAGGTAAGCAGGGGAAGGAAGGAAATGGGGGGCATGGGGGCCTTCTCTCAGGGAGAACATGTCTCCTAGCCCTTCCAAAGGAGTAGGAAGCAGAGGTCAGAGAACTCAAATAGTCCTACCATTGAACAATCAACAGCTGAGTGAACCAAAGGCAAAGAAGATGCCAAGGGACAAAGGGACATACCCTTGCGATAAAATAATGAAGAGTCTGGATGGGTGAAGGTGGCGGCCATCCAAGTAAGCTAGCGCATGGGATATGGGAAACTTGGCGCACGAACACCAATGTCAAGATGGGAAGGGTCAGAGGAACAGCAGTTTGAAGTCCCCCAGGGCTTTGTTCCTCAAGGCCCTGGGAGAGAAGGAAAACAGCTGCACTAGGAAGGATGTGGGGGCCAGTCATGGCTGGAAAAGGGCCCAGAGCAGAGCTAATGGGAGTGGAGAAGTTGTGAGGATGGGCCATTTGTATATGGGAAGGGACATCATTGGAAGGAAGCAGCCACCCTGGAAATGCCATTGAGGGAAAACAACTCAATATTCTAACGATAACCCCTCATCCCACCCCAGCTACTCTAAAGCAGCTGTTTATCCAAGTGCCCAGTCTGCCAAGTAAGGTCTCTCTCATCAGGGGAGCCACTATGCTTGGTGGCTGAGGCCCAGGGATCATGTTCTCTGTCTACAGGCTTGGCAGGCTGCCTGGTGGTGGCAGCATACAGGATTTACCAGCTGAAGGCTCGAGGTTCCACCAAAATGTCCATACATCTGATTCACACCCGAGTGGCAGCTCAGGCCTGTGCTGTGGGTGCAATCATGCTGGGTGAGTAGCCTGGCAAGAGGTGGGGGTGGGTGGTCACAGGAGAATGAGGGCAAAACAGATCAAGCAAAGTCTAGCTGTGAGTCCTGACAGTTAAGGGCCATGATTTAAGTCCCTCTTCCCTATACTTGGCCCCTCATCAAGTTCTTGGTAGAACCCTCATACAAATACATTTCCAGGGTTCTCTGTTTTAATCTCCTGCCCTAGGCTCAGGGGGATGGTGTGCAGTCTGTCTCATAACAGTTTTCCTAAGAGGTGAGAAAAATCATGCATCAAGATTTTTGCTGAATTTCTCTTCCTCTCGGGATCAAAAGGCAGATAGCACTTGCTAACTGTGTGACAGTGGTCAAATCCCGCTCCTTGACCCCGTTTCCCATGTCCAACATGGTATTACATAACCACACCTGGCTTGTCTACCTCCCAGGTTTCTGGCAGACAGAGAATATATGTGCAAGTGCTTTGTGAACCAGCAACTACAGGGAGTGATCTCAGATGTTTCCCTAGGCTGTGTGGTCAGGTGCTTGGAGCAACTGTCGTGACTGACCTAGGGCAGAAAGATAAGAGGGGACGCTGGACTCTCAAGGGAGCGGCCAGAGTGGAGCACCTATCACACGGCAGCTGTTATCCTCTGCACACCTGGGGCAAACAGAGGAGGGTGAAGGGTTTGACGCCAAGGGGCACTTTTCCTCTTCCTCACACAGGTGCTGTGTACACGATGTACAGGGACTACACCAAGAGAACGGCACAGGACACCGGGGAGAAGTAGGATTCCCACAGGGCTGGGGAGGTCAGACCCCTTAAATCAACCCCTGGTATGCTCCTAATAAAGTACTTTTAGAGGAAAATCAGTAGTCTCTTCTATACTCGGGGGAAAGAGGGGTTGATGGGGGCTGGTAGAAGGACCTGGAGCAAAGGTCTCAAAACCAAAGAGTTCTAACCCCCAACTCCAGGGCAAGGGAGATTCTTAAAGGGCAGTGGTCTCATGAGGAAGAGGTGTTAGCCCTAGCAGACCTCTGACCCCAGAAAACCAACGACTGCCAAGCCACCTCAGGTCCGACCCAGAAGGACCATGGCACAGAGACGACAGGATGCCAGAGGTGGGGGCAGTAAAGAGACCTTCACGTTCATGGGAACACTGACTCAGGAGGCGGCTGTCCTCCCCTCACAGGCTGCTTCCCTGGGGGCCCAGGCAGGAAGGAGACTACAGCTGGGAGCAAAGACAGTGACGTCTCATGGGAGACCATATCTCTCCAGAACCCAGTGCCAGGACTAGGCTGTGCTGGAGGGAAGGGGGCGGGGATGAAAGGAGCAGAGCCAGGCAGAGGTCAGAATGTTCTGTTCACTTACAAAGTTTGTCTAAGGTCAAATTTGTAAAAAATAAAATTCCACGTAAATCCTGAAGACAGGGCCTCTTGGGGTTAAACACTTTCATCCCCTTCTCCTTCCCTAAGCCCAAGCTCCTCTCTGTTCCCTGGGAATGGAGCCAGGCAGAGGCCACGCTGGAGGTTCTTGGGTTGTTAAAGAAGGCAACAGCAGCTCCCAGATGCTCTCTGACAACATCAAGTCCAAGCACGCGGGTCCCAGCTTCAAGTCCAAGAGCTGCAGCGCACTGCAGGGAGCAGGGACTGCCAGGTGTGCCTGCATTCACATGGGGTAATTGAGCACAACATCCTGCTTGGCAAGCTCCAGCAACATAGGATCATCGAAGAACTTGCTGATGCTCACATCTTCACTCAGGCCCTGCAGAGAATGGGGGCAAATGCGAGAATGAGCCCCACGCAGTGGCTGACTGAGCGGGGGCCAGCCTGAGCCCTGTGCTAGAGTGGGACAGAGGCTCAGCTGACTGCCTCAGGAGCCATGCCTTCAGGGTATCTCACAGGAGAGAAGGCCCTCCTTCCCCAGCCAGATTGGGCCCAGGTCTGGCTGCCAGAGGACTCTACAGGTTGTATCTCTCTACACTGTGCAGTAAACTGTTCTCAATCTATTAGGCCTTGGCAGAATGGTCCAAAAGGAAGAACTGAAGAGAGATCCAACTCCTGCCGAGACCCTTGGTGGTTGAGGGATGGTGATGGGCCCAAGGGACAAATACCTTCCTACGACGGGTTTTGATCATGAATTCCCGGGCCAGGTGAGGAGCTGGCTGTGGCTCCAGGGGGCGGATGACAATGCTCTTGTCCAGAGGATCACCAGGTACAATCTGAAAAGCAAGGGGTTTTCAGATGGTCTGGGGAGACTTCACTGAGGACTCAGGCCTAGCTAGCATCAGGACGCTTTCCTAGGAAGTTGGAAGTCAGAGCTGTTGACTACCACAGCTTGGAAGGGGAATAGGTCATAAGGGAATTAGCCCTGAAGAGGTGGGAGGCCAAGAGAGTCAGCCTGTACCATTTTCTCACCTGCCAATGGTGGAAGACAGACAGGGAAAATGCCTGTCCCTGGGTATGAGTCCGCAGATCGGTTTCAAAGCCAAAAGAGTCGATGGCCGGAATGAAAGCTTTGATGGTGTAGAGAGGGGAGCCTGGGATGGGTGCATCCTGAGTCACGTGCCCCCTGAAACAGAGAAAAAGGCCAAGGCTGAGTTCCTGGTCTGGTAGAGGCCAAAAACAGAGGAGGAATCTGCCCTTAGCTGCATCTCAACCTGGAGTACCACCAAAGACAGAACAACCACGAATGCTCTACAAAGGGCAGAAAAGGGTTGGGGTGCTCAATGTAAACCCTGTGGAAGTCAAAGGGGCAGAAATCTCTAGGCAGAAGACAGGAGTTAGAACATGGACAGGACAGGGCCCTATGGACAGTCCCATCACTGATGCGCTTCAGTATTTCCCACAAGAGCTCTCAGAGGAGGGGGGCCTAAGAAAGGAATCTCAAATTTTATTCTGCAGTATTGCCCCATTCCCGTTCCCACTTCCACCTGAGAAATAAGCTAAGTTTCGGGACTGGAGAGGGTGGTGGAGGCCAATCTCTCCTTCCTCATGACAGCCAAGTTATTTCTTGCCCTCCTCTTGCTCGCAGCACTCTCCCTCATATAACTGGGACCACTCACCTGCGCCTGGCCAGTACGGTATAAACAGCAGAGACACAATCTGCAGGGGCCTGTACCTCTACAAAGTAGTAAGGCTCCATCAAACGAGGTGTGGCCTACAATACAGCAAGAAGAAAGGGTTCCTCAGCTTGGGAGAGGCTAAGGAGTGAGAACCTGGGTAAAGGGAAGGCTGGAGGGGATGCAGTCTAGGGGCTCCACAGGCTTGGTCCTCTACTGTCCCCTTGCGCAGGCCAGTGCCCCACAACCCTATTGTCTTACCATGAGGAAGGCTGAATAAACGACTCTTCTGGCTGTGGGGATGATCTGGCCCCCGCCCCGGTGCAGGGGCTCCTGGGCCACCACTGCATCCAGGATCTTAAACTTGACATTTCGAATCACTGAAAAGGAGATGGGGCAGCTGACTGAGAAGTGGTTCTGCGGCTGGCCAAAGGCCACAGCAAGGCAGTGAGGGATCTCATGCTACACTGTAGCCGTCTGGCAGCCACAAGAGATACGGCACAAAAATCACACCGGAGGTGGGAGTTCTAATAGGATATTCCAGGCCTGTAGCAGACGTCAGAAGCACACATTCAACAGTGCTTGTTTCAGGTCAGGCTCAGGTATCCTAAAGCTTTCCTAGCAGTTTATGTGCTTCTAATTATTTTTGGATACAGAATAAGTTCCAAGATTGCACATTGGGTCCCACAAAGTCCAACCCTGGTCTATGTTGTTGCTGTTGTGTGCTGTCGAGTTGATTCCAACTCACAGCGACCCTATAGGACAGAGTAGAGCTGTCCCATAGGGTTTCCAAGCTGTAATCTTTACAGAAGCAGATTGCCAGGTATTTCTCCCATGGAGCCACTGGTAGGTTCAAACTACTGACCTTTTGGTTAGCAGCTAAGCAGTTAACCGCTGAGCCACCAGTGCTCCTTCCCTGGTCTATAAACCACTCCAATCCTAACCTCCTCTTGATACTTCTTCTTAAACACACCCAAAGCTGGATCCTTCTCAGGAATGAGAAGCAAATGTCAGTCTAGAAATGGCTTCATTTCTAGGATGTACCAAGTGGTGGTAGCAGGACAGGGAGGCAGGAGATAGGAGGAAGCTGGCCCAGGACACAGGATGGCCCTGTGTACCCCAAGCTGCTTCTCCTGCCAGGTCCCAAAGATGAGCGATAAGCCTACCCCACCTCATAAGTCCAGGTGAGAGGACCCTACCTAGAGGACTAGGGTGGGGGAGGCACTGCTGGACTTACACTCATCACAGAGGGGACCCTCCCTGGTTCCCCACTGAAAACCTTGAACGATGCTGTCCTTCACTGAGCCCAGAAGAGCCTTGTCCACCTGCACAGAAACATGAGGGCTCCTTAGCAGTGACCCTGGCAACAGCCCAAGAGTTTAGAGGGAAGAGAAGGTGGGTCAGCTTGTAAGAGGTGTCTCCTTGGTCAGAGGACACAGAATACTTTTGAGAAAAGGAAAATGCTCTGTAGTTTCTCCCACCCAAGAGGTAAGCATCCACCACATAGTTCCCATCAGTTCTGCTGTACCTCAGAGGGCAGGGTATCATCCACCAGGATGTTGGGACCAGTGGCATCAGGCCCAAAGGCCCAGATGGAACGGGCAGCCAGCAGATCCCAATCGTACTTGGTCTGGAAGAACTCTCCCAGCTTCTTCCTGGAGGAAGGAGGAGAAAATGGAGGTGTCAGACATAGCTCTGTGGTTGTTGGCTCCTGGGGTCATGAAGCCTCCCTTCCTGGAGGACAATCACCTCATCCTATCCACCCTGTGCCTAAGACATAGTAATGGGGGGAGACAAAAGCACTTCCCAGAAGGATGTGTGGTACCAGAGACCCGGCAGGTAGGCTACGGTGTCCCTGTCTCCCTTCAGCCCTGGAATCAGAACCACCCTTTCACCTGTTCCATGTGATTTGGACCACCTCGTTCTCTATGTCCTCGGCGAGGCCCTTCTCAAGAGGCTCAGCAATCATGGTGATCTTGTTCCTAGTCAGAAAGGAAATGGTAATGAGGAGAGTTAGAACAAGCAGAAGGGGCATTCCTGAGAAAAGGGGATAAAGGGAACAGCACGGGGGCAGGGTAGAGCAAAAAGAGCTCTTCTCTGTCTTCTTTAATTTGAATCAACTTGTCTTTAAAAAAGCAAGGTTTGGGGCAAAGTTGTAGGATGGTCGTATTACAGAGAAGTGACAATTAAGAAACTCCTCTTGGGTATCCAAGGCAAAGAACTCCATAGCATCTTGTCCAAAGGCACAGGGATGAGAAGGATGGCATGGAACTCAAGTACCTAAGAATATCCCCTTCCCCTACCCCAAGATTTACAGGTCTAAGTTTTGCCTCTATTCCTACAGTGCTGTGGTTGGGGTGATGCTGGCAAGGGGTTGGGAGAGGAGGGTCCCTGTGGCTGTTAGTTCCAGGGACCCAGTGACTACCCAGCTTACTTCTTATTGGGAGTTTCAGCAAAGCACTTGAGGGAGGACGTTTCCACCACCGTCTCACAAAATGTGACAACTGGGTCAGCCACCTGAGAAATACATTGCATTGTTGGGGAGAAGTCTAATTCTGTTTGAAAGACAATCTTTTACTAAAGGGAATCCCAAAGTTTCTTCGACACTACTCGGAGAAAAACCCCTCTGCCCTAATCAGCGTAAGTGACAAGTACAAGAACGCTGCTTTACCTTGATGTCTATCTCTGAGTACATCTTTCGCAAATCATGCATCACACAGTCCAGGTAGAGCTCCCCAGTGCCCAGGATCACATGTTCGCCAGACTCTTCCACCTGAAACACAACCGCGCTGGTGGTCAAAACCTGGGCTCTCTTGTGGCAGCAAGCGCAGATACTACAACAGAATGACAGCTATAAGGTCAGAATCCAGGAGGGAGTGCCCAAACCCACTATCAGAAATAGCCAATGCTCAGCATCTGTTCCAGTGTCTTCAGGAAGGTTCAGTGGGGATCAGCAACCTATGAGTCAGACCATAAGACATCTGGACCACTCGGCATAGTGCTACCGGGTTTGAGGTCACTGATTTAATCCCCATCTTAGCCATTTAGGGAAAACCCTGCCCTATGTCCATGGACACAAGCTGACCCATTAGCCCTGGCCAGCTACTCAGGTTATGCTGGTAGGCTCAAGAGTGGGGAAGGATCAGAGTAATTCACTTTTCCTTCTATCTTTTCTGAAAAATCAATTCAAAGGGTACAATCCAAGAATATCCTTTTCCTATCTAAAGATACTTGTGGAAAACACACACATACCCCCCTCCCCACCAAAATAAACAAAAAACCAAAACAAAAACATGGGTCTTGCCCTGCCTTCAAATGACAGTAACAAGCAGAACAGCTCCTCACATAGGCTGCCGAGGGAAGCATATCAGAGACACTGATAGAGTCAAAGCAGTGAGCAGCACAGAAAATTTAGCTGGGCCAGGGGGGGCTCGGTAGCTGCTGCAGACCTCGAGCGTACCTTGGTGGTGAGGGATGGGTAGCTCTTGTTGACCTTGCGTAGGCCGTCGAGCATCTTGGGCAGCTCTGATGGGTTGACTGGCTCCACAGCAATCTTGATCACAGATGTGGTGTTGAACTTCAAGGGCCGGAAAATCTGAGCCTGACATCCAAAATGCAGAGGAGTGAGGGCACCTGGCCTGAGTAGGCACAGAAGGAAGTGCAGAGGTAAAAGAGGGTCTGAGGACTTGCTTAATATCAGACTATTTCCAACCAGGAGCCAAGGTGCTGCTTGGGGCCACTTAAGGGCCATTTATTCCCATCCATTTGGCAGAACAAAGACAGGAAGAAAGAATAGAAGGAGCTCTTCCTAATTCCTAGTATCTGAGCCAAGCACAGGGAGAATACAGCACAGTCGGACCTAGAAGGTTGCTTCCTTCCTGGAACCAGGAAGTGGCAGGGACTCTGGGTGAGTCCTCCCCTAGTTCTGCCGCGTGCTGCTCATGTGTACTGTGCTTCCCTGTGACCCTTTAGCATAAGCCAGTCTCACTTGCTTCTTCAGAAACTCTACCTCCTCATTTCCTCGAGGTTCAGTGATGGTCGCTGTTTTCACAATTGGTTGATCAACACCTTCAATCAGAACCCAGTTGCCAGCTGGAACACGGTTCACCTCAATGTGGTACCTGGAGCAACATCCAGTAAACAATGGAACTAGGGCAGAGCATTCATTCCATAAAAATTTACTGAGCACCTGCTATGTGCAAGGCACTGAGCCAGGAGCAGGGATGAACAAAACAGATACATTCTAGCAGAGATGAGAAGCAATAAACAATCAGAGACCATACATATATGTGATTGCAAACTGTGATGAGGGCTATGAAAGAAAAGTGAAAGGTATGATATGAGGCTATAACGGGAAAACCTAGTTTCGACTGAAGATTCATGGTAAGCAAGGTTTTCCTCACAGTGTAGAATATAAGAGATGCCAAAAGCATCACAGAACTAGAAGATAACTTCAATTCCCCTAGTTCTTCAATCTTCTTCTGCCTCCTAGGGGACGAGGTTGGATTTGGAGGAGGGAAAAGGAGCTGTTGGCGAGGCACAGCAGCCTTGTCAGGGAACAGGACTCAGCTCTGCTTGCCAAACGAAATGCCAAACTTACGAGCTGACAAGCAGCCCAGTGAAGTCTATTTTGGTCAAAGAGTAGACAGTGGAGGTTAGGAAGCAATTTCTTTTGGGAAGAAACCTAAAGGTTATGGCTTAAGGAACACAGAAAAGGAATTGAAGAGAGGATTAAGATGAGCAAAAATGGCAATCCTGACACACCTGTCATACAAGACACCCAAAATGCAAAGGCAAGGCTATTGACATTATCCCAGCAGTAGCTGCCTTCTTGGCCCTAGCAATCTTGCGTAGTAAGAACTAGAAGTCAATAGATCTGCTGAGGGATCATCTTAGCCCCTACAGTAGAAAGCCAGGCAGCTATTGGGTTTCCAAGGAGGACTACACCTTCCAATTCTTTGGGGCAGTCCGAGGGTAGAGGCCAAGGCATGTCCCTGAGGCTCTGTGGGCATACCTGGCCACAGAGATCCAAAGGCGGCCCACGGTGCATATCTGTGAGTCTTCCTCATCCTCCAGGGTGTAGTTCTCCCCAAGAACCTTCACAGGCTGCCCAGCATGGATAGTGCCACTCAGCACCCGGCCAAAGGCATGAAATTGAACTCCATCATCTGTGCTGTACATCTTGGTAGTATGGCACATCAAGGGACCCTGGAGGAGGGGACAGAGTGCAGCCTGAACCACACATACCTTCTGGGTAAGTACTACTGTCTCCCCCTCCCTTGACAACAATGGCACGAGCTCTCTGAGGAGGTAGTCAGGACCTAGAAGAATAGATGTCGATCTCCTAGGAAAATTCCAAACAATGTTCTATTCCCTCCTTAGTTAATGGAATCCTTAGGCATAGGGGAAAAAAAAATTCCCCCCTTTTCTGGACAAATAAGGGCCATGAGAAAGAGAAGCAGACTTAGGATGGCAGACTGGCTTAGGGGACAAGATTACTTGCCCCAAAGTTCCTCTGAAGATGTAACTCACAATTATCAACTGGCCATCTGTTTATGCTGAGAAACTGGTTTGCCTGAGGAATGGCTGGGAAAGATTTTTTTGAGCCAGCTACCAAGGCTAGGTACCATTTGTTGAATCTTTACTATTGCCCAGGCACCATGCGAACACAACTTTAACATTTCCTTAATCTTATTTAATTCTCATAAAAACCACTTACATGTCATTCTCCTCATTTTATAGACCAAGACTCTTAACGGTCAGAAAGAATGGGTAATGTTCCCAAGGTCATACCACTAGCAGTTGCAACATCCAGCTTTGAATTCAGGTCTGTTTGCCTATGCTCATGAGGAGGGACAGGAATGCTCATGAGAGACAGGAAAGAGTAGAAAAAAATCAGAGAACTGGGGGCGCCATGTCCCCTTACATCAGGGTCACAGTCACTCATGGCCTCCCCGAGGTCGGAGTCCACGCCGCCAGTGTAGGTGTGCTCGATCTTGGGCTTGGCGCCCACCTTTGGAGAGGGGATATGCTGTACACACATGTCCACAAAGCCTGTGGAGGGAGAGTAGGAAGCCATTACTGTACTCATTCAGAGGGGGAAGTGAACAATGAGATACTGATCCTCTCATGATGGTCAGAAAGCTACAAATGATGGGACTGATTTCCAGCTCTAAAAAGCTACAGTTCTATGATTCTAGGAAGCAGTACCGTTTCCTGGGAGTATGCTGCTAAGAGATTTAGAGTCACACTGAAAGATTAAGAAGCAAGTTTCAGTGATCTGTGGGTCCCTGGAATTTAACTGACAACAACTTTAAGTGTCTCTATCAATCCATGACTTTTTATCGAACATTAGCATTTACTGAACACTTAGACTGAGCTAAGTAAGTACCCCATCTCTTCTTTCTAGATCTACTTAAAACTCTTCCCCTGTGAGAAATAATGTCTATGTGTCTGTTCAAGAAAATTACTCTGTTTTCCTAGCACACACTAAACCATACAAGAGGACCCTGGGGGCAGGCATGTCTGCTTTTCCTTGGTATCTTGTATTCAGACTGATGGCCAGGCCAGAATGGGCTACCAAAACTATGCCGAGGACCCTCAGCAATTGCCTCTTCCGATGACCTCATTTTATACATTAGAAATCAGAATCACAGAGGAATTAGGTGGCCAGCCCAGAGTCACCCCAGGATTAAGACTCAGATTTTTTCTCAACCAGGCCAGTGTTCTTTCTACTGTAACGTCTGCCTTCTGTGTAACTAAAATACAGGAGGAAGAAACTCAGAGGAAACAGAAATTTGGGTCTATAACCCAAGTCTCCTAAGTCTAGCCCAGTGGTTTTTTCCACTATCTCACACCACCCAGAGACTACCTTTCTGACTATCACCTGGCAAATACAATACCTCAGTGTCTGTCTCCTCATCTCCTTTACTTGTATGATCCTCTTGGCAGGGGAATTTAATTGCTTTGGGTTCCCAAGATAACACATTTTTTTAAATTTCTTTTTCTTTGTATTTAATTTATTTTGTTGTTGTTGTTATTGAGAATACACACAGCGGAACATACACCAATTCAAGTTTCTACATGTACAGTTCAGTGACATAGATTACATTCTTTGAGCTCTGCAATCATTCTCATCCTCCTTTTCTGAGTCGTTCCTCCATTAACTCACTGCCCCCTAAGGTTCCTATCTAATCTTTTGAGTTGCTGTTGATCACATATAGATAAGTTCTTCAAACAGCCTAAGGCTCAAGGCAGACATTCTTTACCGGTTAAGCTAAACTATCATTTGGTTTTAAGAAGACTTCAGGGGATATTTTTGGTTTAAGGTTTAAAGATTATCTCAGGACAATAGTTTCGGAGTTTCATCAAGCCTCCATGGCTCCAGAAGGTCTGGATTCCATGAGAATTTGAGCCAAAGATAGAATACTTGGTCCCATCCACTAAGGAAAGAAGCTAGGAAAGAACTCAGGTATTATGTATCCTGATCTGTGGTTTATTTACAAGAGCCTTAGATCTCTGACCATGACTGCAGGGCGGGGAAAAGCTCCCCATGATATATATGGCTGAACATGATGGTGGTGATGTTAAGAGGGGGCCATGGGCTGTTCATTACCCGTGAACTCGCCAAAGAACTTTTTGCAGACCAGCCTGAGCAGCGGGCGGATGTTAAGCTTCAGCTCCTCCTTGGTCAGGTGGATGCCAAGTTCATCCAGGGTCCTCGGGAGGCTGGTGTCCACATCACCCACAACCTGTGAAGGTACCAGATACCAGGTCAGCTATAGCACTAAAGGAACAGTGGCCCCATGTGGTACTCCACGGGAGGAAAAGGGCAGGCCAAAGGGTGACTCAAAGAACTACTGCACTAGGTTCTCTACAGGCAGAGCTCCTGGGAAGGATGATAGGTTGGTTTCAGGAGAGTCTTTGGTACTTACCCTTCAAACCAACCCTGGGTGAAGCAAGCTTGCTTAAGTCCCCACGCCCGCCAATAAACCAGGCACCCTCAGACTGACTACTGCCAGTGCTGCCCCCTAGTGTTTGACAAGCAGCACTTCCTCCCACTCAGAAAGTCCCTCAGGCCTCCCTATTTAGACTTCTCATTTGGAGGAATCACTGCACTGGAAGGAACCAAAAAAGGCCACCTAGCAGTCCATCCCCCGTCAGGGCAGGGCCAAGATAAATCACCCTCAGCAGACTCAAGGTCTCCACCGAGGCAGATTCTGTAAATTTCTTTTATTAATCTATTCCAGACTGACATAAGATGCTAATATTTTTCAGCACGAATAGGTTTTAGTCTTGTTACTTTGCCTTGTTACGTTCTGCCAGTTTGTCAGTTGGAATGGCCACACATTTTTTTTCTTTGCTTTCATTGTGCAGTGCTTATTAAAACTTGTACATTTTAAATTGTCTGAGAAGAAAGGCCTGTATGAAAAATTCCTATATAACATTATCACCCGCCTTCAGTCCTGCCTTTTAACTATCACAAATTCATATAAATGCAATGTTATACTGTTCTTTGAAGCATCCCATGTTTAACTGCATCCTTACCACTTTCTGATGCCTCCTTTTCAATCTGACAAACCATCACACACGTACACGGCCAGAATAGTCATTAAAACAAAGCTCATATAGCCATTCTTCGAATGGCTGCAACAAACTTCATTTTAAGGAATGTATCATTTAATCAGATTCTCACTGATGAACACTTATATCTAGTTTTTTCCCCCCTTTACCTGCTGTTATAAACAACACTATGACAAAAATATACATACATATATATATATACATATACATAGCCTGGAGAATGTTCACAATTATGTATCTCTGTAAGTCAAATTCTCTTAACCGAAATTTTAAATGTCACATTCTTCTGAGTAGTCAAGCTCTTTCCAAGAAATTCCTCTAGCTCATGCCTTTCCTTTCTTTCATACCTTCCCCTTTGACCCTGATTTCAACAGCACTTAGAATACTGCACTGTCCTTGATCCAAAAGAATAAACAACTGGTGATCAACCACCTTCAAATTTAATAAAACTGAGTGGGTATGGGGTAGAGGGAGTCTGTGTTCAGCAACTTTTCCACCTTGTGCCTGGAATGGCAGACCTGCACCAGGTGGTCTGACACACTCACCTGAGCGAGGATCTTATAAAGGGGTTCCAAGATAAACTCCACAAAGCTCCTCTGGGAGCTGCTGGTGGGGGCCTTTTTTGTGAACTTTCTCCTAGAGAAAAAGGAGAGTCATGAGTGCTCTAGGAGGGAGAAGGCAGTGTCACCAACCCTGAGGGTTAATTTCCCAAGTTCTGAATCTGAGCAGGGATCAAGGGGAAGGAACGATGTGCATGTGATCGTAAAATTCCCGAAGAGAGACTGCTGAGAGGCCATATGGTTATAGATCTCATGCATCCCTAAGCTAAGCTGTGAAGACCTCAAAAGAAACAGCCTCTCAACTGTTAGAGCTCATGAGACTAACCTGCTTAGGGGAGGGAAGATGAAAGCTCACCTCTAAGAGCAGGTTTTAACCTTAGGGACACTTTCTCTATCTGTCCTCACTGGAAAAACGGGATCAACCCTCTGGAGTCGCAACGCACACCTACTTACGTCTTGGGGTTGAAGTAGATGTCACCCCAGAGTCTTTTAGCAAATTCCTGGTAATTAATGTCACCTATAAGAGAAGCAACACAATTATAATCTATCTAGCAAATTCTGTTTCAGCTGCCACAAGTGGTTCATAACTGAGGAATTCTAACACCTTCCTTTCCAGGGTACAAGGTCAGCAGTTTGAATCCACCAGCCACTCCTTGGAAACCTGATGGGGCAGTTCTACTCTGTCCTAGAGGGTTGCCATGAGTCAGAATCAACTTGACGGCAAGAGGTTTGATTTTTTTGGTTTTATTGCTACATTTATCACTCTGTTGTATTATAACCACTGGCTTGAGTTTCTTGAGGGCAAGAACTGTGCTTACCACATGAAAGTTTCATAAATGTTTACTGAAAAAATGAGTGAACATCTCTCAAATACATGTCCTCGTTTTTGGTCTCACAGATAACACTAATCTAGCACTCATAATCTTATATGTATCGACAAAAACGTCTAAACAGTGTCCCTTCCTGTATTGTCCTCCCTCTGCTCTATCTTTCATACAGCTTTGCATGCATTGCCCCAACCCAATCTTTAATATCTCCTAACTGCCTACAGGATAAAATCTAAAGCCCTTAACCTGGCATTCCATACCCTCCTCAACATGGCCTTAACCCATCCTGTGAACATCTTTAACTTTTCTCCTTGGTGAAAACAGTCCACTGTGACCTGAACAGGCCATGGTCAACACCAGCTGCCTCCTCTCCCAATCCTGCAAGTTTGGAATTCCTGGCGCCCTACTCTGCTTGTCTAAGCCTTCACGCAGTCTTCCCTGCCAGCCGCCTAGGCCATCTGGGCTGACTCCACACTCCGAGTTCCTGCAGCTCTACCTGCCTACAGCAGCTACTTGGCACTCAGCCCACGCCACCTTACAGTGCCATTCATTGCTCTGTGGGATTCCGTCCACCCAGTGAATAAAGTTCCTAGAAGTCAGAGATCATTCATCATGCCTTGTATTTCTATCATGAGGACATAGTACTCAATTTTGGTAGTATGATGTAATAGAAAGAGCACCAAAGTAGATTCAAGTTCCAACTCCATCAACAAGTTCTACAGCCTCGGACTTAGTTTCCTCATATGGAAAATGAAGAAGAAGGTTGATTACCTCCAGAAAGTAACTGGTTACCTGAGGGATAAGAGTGACAAGGTAACTTTTTTCTATATATTCTTCCGTATTAACTTTTGAATTTTGAACCATTTGAGTGTATTGTGTATTCAAAATAAGTAAAAGTTAAATATTAAAAACAAAAACGAAGGGGAAGGACTGACTCTGATATTCTCTCCAGTGCTGACTTTCTAGAAGTCCATACATGGTTTCTCACGGTAATGATGTGGGAGCCCACAGCTGGGCTCCTTTGTAAACTAACAGTGGGTCAAAGATGAGTAATAATCTCTCTTGAGGCTCAGGGTAATTTTGAATCAGAAATGGAATCATCTCTACATTATAATAGAAAACTTCTTAGATTTTGCTTCACACGCTGATGCAAAGGACATTCAGGAACACATACATTTCTACTGAACGCTTGTTCAGATGAATGGTATTTATTGTCCATCTACCCCCCCCTTTTTTTTTAAAGAGTCATCTGGAAACAAACAAATGTATAATGACAGGAAAATGGTTACATCATAGTACACCCACTCCTCACTTATCAACTGGTTAGGTTCCAAAGACCAGATAGCTATGCGAAAATTGGCTTTATATGAAAATAGAGGATTTTTTTTCTGTTTTCAGACCACCTATTTGTCTGATTTTTTTAATTTAGAAAATATGATCATAGAAATAATAACAGCTAAGATTTACTGTTGTGCTCATCATTGTGATGAATCCAGTTATGGATTATTTCTCTGCAGAGGAGGCTTGGAGGAGACAAAGCTGGATAAAGCCGGGCTGTATGACTAGAGAGCCCCTGGCTTAACCACTTCACCTTCCTCCTGTGCTGGGTCAGAGCTTCCCTCACAAAGTCGCCTACAGGGCTCCACTCCCACCCCTGCAAACCCTGAGTTGAGGATCCTGGAGCCTGCTCTGCCCTCTGGGCCTGGTGAGTCACCAAAGCTCTGGGCTTCCTGCAAGGGTGAGGGTGCTGGGGTCCTGGCTGAGTACCTGGCCCCACTAAAGCAGAGGCTTCAGGCCCAGTTCGGCTCACTCTGGGATGTCATTAAACTTGCACCCATTTCTTCCAAACACCCTCTCTGATGTCTCTCTTTCCTCCTTTCCTACCCCACAGCAATCTGAGCTGCAGGGCATCGGGCCACATAGGAGCTGGGAACCCAGAACAGGTGCCCGTAGGCTTGGTGCGGCCTGTGCATCCACCTGGAGGCCGGCCCCGTGTGGCAGGAGGGAGCGGAGGGCATGGGGCAGTGTGGCCCAGCTTCCCGGAGGCTGCCTAGAGACCCTCCTTGAGGGAGAGGATGCTCCGCAGCCGTTGCTCCCATGCCTGTTGCCTTGTTTACGCGCAAAATAGTCAGATTTTTTTACTACCTTCAAAACGTTAGATAATAAGAGAGTTGATAAGGAGCAGGTGTACATCGCTACAGCGGACCAACAGCAGTTTCATAAAATGGTTTTTATAAAATATTTTTAATAAAATAGACAAATTTTTATGGTCCAACAGGGAATGAAAAACAGGATAAAACTGCATATATAATACGATCTCATTTATGTAAAACAATAAACAGCAGGGAACTATAAATGTTAATAACAGTTATAGTAGCGAGATCATGGGTGAGTTTTGCTTTCTTGTCTAGATTTTACTGTACTTCCCACTTTTCTACAATAAGCATGTATTAAATATGTGCACACGAAAATATAAAAGATGAAGTGCTTATTGTCTATGTTTTCACGAGGGCAAACATATCCATTCTGAGAAGGAGGCAAGATAATTGACCGGTGAGAACAGAAACAGCGGCACTCCACTGCCTATCCGCTGTGAGGCCTCTCACAGAGCCTGTCTCCTTGGCTCTAAGAATGGGGGTAATAATGCCTCCCCTGCAAGGAAGTAGTCCCCGACACGCAGCAGGCTCTCGGTACATGACTCCTAAGGGAATCTGGGGGTAATTGGGAAGGCACAGAGATGGAGAGCCAGGGATTTCCTTGAGCTGGGAAGCTGGTCCCAGGGCTCTGGTGTTGAGGCTCCAGAAACCCACAAAACCATTCAGCTGGGCGGGCCCCAGGAGGCGTGGACAAGTAACTGCAAATCCAATAGGAGTTCTCATGTAGGACTATAAAATTTGCTGTTGTTGTTAGGTGCCGTTCAGTCAATTTTCAACACACAGCGACTCCATGTGACAGAGGAGAACTGCCCTATAGGGTTTTCTAGGATGTAATCTTTATGGAAATAGAGCACCAGGTCTTCCTCCTGTGGAGCGGCTATGTGGGTTAGCTATCAGCCGAGTGCTTCACTGTTGTGCCATCAGGGAATTTAGATGTATCTAAATACGGTTGGAAAGACAGCTAGAAGCCCTAAGAGTGAGAGAGATTCCACCTTTGTGAAAAGGGTCTGAAAGTACTTCCTGGGCATGGTTAATTCCTACTTTACAAAACGTCTCTCAGAGAGATTTTTATTCCTGGAACAGGCCCACTCTTGCCCCATTTCTTCCTAATCACTTCTATTTTTCTATTGCTTAGAAACCATTTAGCCGAAAGAAAGGGCCTAGGGTCCAAAAAGAGCCCCGATTGTGACAATAACAGTTGGTAAATGCTCCCCTAGACAGGGGACTCTGGCAGGAAGCCAACTTCTGTGCCATTCAGCAGGAAAGGCACACCCGGCTCCAGGGAAGCTGATGAGACAGACTGCTAGCCAGAACTTACCAAAGGTGTCAGCGTAGATCTTGGCAAAGGAGCCCAGTGTGAAGCAGATGCTATACTGGGAGCTGGAAAAGCAGACGTTGCCCAGGAGTGGAGACAAGATCAAGTTCTCATCAGTGGAATACATGCTGAAACAGAGACAGTCATGAGCTCAGTGCCAGGCCGTGCAACAACACAGACACACAGCCAAGGGTAATGGGCAGAGGCGCGATATTGCAGCCTTGCGGATGCTCAGAAGGGGCTTACATAATCGGCCCAGCTTTGCCAAGAGCCTGGCCCAGAAAAGTGACATGATGGAGTTGTTGCCTAACTCCTAGAAACAAGGTGATTGGCCATCGCTGGGAACATTCTGCACAATCTTGGAAAAGTTAACTGCACCAACAGACAAGTGGACACTTGGAGGACAGAGACAAAGACCTTGAGCACAGGAAATGAATCTAACATGATATAAGAACACATTTTACAGAACTCTCGATTCCACATATACAAACAGGCATAATAAGCACCAGTTTAAAGGACAAAAAGAAAAACAAGCAACTTTACTCCCCACTCTCACTGCCCTACTCTATACTGTTTTGTTTTACAACTTGTGTTAAAACTTTGAGTCTTAAAAGTCATACAGGAACTATAAGCATCTCAAGTTCACGAACATTTTTAAGAAAACCAGTATTTGTCGCACAAGGATCAAATCCACAATCCCAGCCTTACTGGCATATTGTTTTATGGACTCTCTTGGTTTAGAAATGAAAGTTGTTGTTGTCAGGTGCTGTTGAATCCATGTTTTACTTATAGCGAGTAACCCCATGTCACAGAGTAGAACTGCCCCAGAGTTTTCTTAAGTTGTAATCTTTACGGGAAGCATATCGTCAGGTCTTCTACCCCACCTCCAACTTATGCTCCTCAGAGGCAGCTGCTTCTAACTCTTTTAAAGATTCTTTTACAGAGTTTATCTTCATATTTCTAAATGACAGGTTTATACTGCTATTTCTTGTTCATACACTGACTCTTGACTTCCTATGTTGGCAGATCAAGATTTAGCCCCATCCCAGCCCCTAACTTTTTTTTTTTTTTAGTAAGTTTATCGTTTCACCTTTTAGACTCCTGATGTTATGCTGGGCTCTAGTCATCCTCAGCCCTACCAGAGATGGGGAGAAGATTTCTCTGTTGAGAATTAGCGCTCAAAACTTCAGGGAGGCTCCTGAAGGTAAATTTACCTTCTGGTCAGGTAGGTCCTCTCCCCAGTCCTTAACTGTGGAGGCAATCTCTCAGGAGGACAGTCTCCTCCCAGGCCCATCGGAGGGCCTCAACAAGCTGCACAATATATCCCTCAGCCTGCAGATACGACTGTCTTTAAGACATATGTAACCTATTCTTCAAAGCTACCCTTGATACTATATTCTAAGGTCTCCCAACTGCCCCTCATACTAATAACGTGAGGTCCTATATTGTTGAAAAGCAGTTAGAGCCACAGCAGCAAGAGCAAACAGTTCCTTAATATTACTGAGTCTGGGTTAATACTAAGCTAGTAAGAGCTGCTAACATTATTCACCAATCAGTTATGGTATGCTGAGCACTGTGCTCCGTGTGTTATGTCAAATAATTATTTAATTTCTTACAACATCCCATCAGGCAAAATTATTCCCTTTTTATAGACAGAGAAACTAAGGCTCTACAAGTTTAAGTAATTTCGCCAACTTTACATGGTTGCTCCATGGTGAAGATGATTCTAGAGCCCAAGGTACTAACCACAACACTAAAATGAAGATCTCTGTGAAGTGAGCACAACCGGTCGTGACAGAGTTAATGAGACCAAGGCTGTAGAGTCAATCCCTACAGAGGCCAGAATGTGCCTCTAGCCTTGCCTGACAAGCCATCAACACACACCAAGAAATCAGTTGCCCTCAGAGGTGTTCAGGGCAAAGGCTTACAAAAGCCAAGAGTCCCCAAGGACAGGAAACCCACTCCAAGGGGTCCTATACCTTATTAACCCATTGACCTCGTCCACAATGTGGCGCAGCTTGTAGTAAGCATCAGTTGGAGGCAGCTTGAGCTCCAGGATGAGCCGGTCAATCTTGTTGATGCACACGGTGACTGCCAGCCTCTCCTGCACGGCGTGCTTGATCAGCCGCTCGGTGTTCAACATCACCTGAGAAACACAAGGATGAGGAGGTAGTGATATGTGCAGAAAAGGCCAGGGCAGGGCCAAAGAGAATAATTATTTCAAAATATGGGGTACGAGGGGGACAGAGGGCCTGGGAATATAGATTGTTGGGTGGAGGCAGAGCACACCTTCTGAAAGGCAGAGGAAGGAACTTTAAGAGGGCACCTTGCAGGATTAAGAAATGAATAAATACACTGATGATGCTGGGAGACAAGTTTCTCAGTGCTGGAGAAGGAATAAAGGACGGCTACGAAGAGCCTGTGGAGCTGGTATGGAATTGAGGGTAACAGGATAACAGACGGTTAAATATAAATACATATGCATAAAATAGATACAAGTATATGTAGGTATGTGTGTATTATCTAGCTCTGTTCAGGGAAAGGACCCAGAAGCAACACACCCCAACAGCCAACAGACACATCCAGATCTAAATGTCAGTCCCCACTAAAAGGAACCAGAGCTCCTTGGAGAAATGGCTCATTCCAGGACTGGGGCAGGAAAAGTACAAGATGAATCTAGAACATCTTTTTGTGCCTGAAAGAAGTGCTCAAAAACAAACAAAACAAAACCAAATGTGTCAAAAGGATAAAAGGAAGCCCACCTGAAGGAGCTCTCGCTAGCCAAAGCTGGAACTAGAACGTTAAAACAAGTTAAGAATAACAACAACAACAAAAAACCAAACCCACCGCTGTCAAGTCAATTCTGACTCATAGCGACCCTACAGGACAGAGTATAACTGCCCAGAGGGTTTCCAAGGAGTGGCTGGTGGATTCGAACTACCGAACTTTCTGGTTAGCAGCTGAGCTCTTAACCACCGTGCCACCAGGGCTCCAAATAAGGATAGTAGTGGATTACAAATAAGAACCCATGAGCCCCTACTGATAATAAATAAGCAAATGGGAAGAAGGGAAAGCTCTTCCTTACAAGAGAATTCCAAATGATAAATACAAAAGGAATAGTAAGAATTAGAAAATCACCATTTTGCAACTATCACAGAAATAAACCAAGAATGATCAATGGATGCTAAAACGTGTATGTGAAGTTTGATAAGGAATACAATGTACACATGGGCTCAAAGTATCTCCCCAGAAACTATTTACTAGTTACAAAGGGGAAAATAGTAACTTTACACTGGAGAAACCTGGCAGATGCAACTCAACCAAGCAATCAAAGTTAACATCACCAATAATGGGATAAGGTGACATCATGTAGCTTCTGATGTGATGTACTAATAAGAACATATTATTTATGTAGAATTCCTGCCAAAAATAACCTGAACCTAATCACCAGGAAACATCAGACAAGCCCCAACTGAGACATATTCTACAAAACAAATGGCCTGTACTCTTCAAAAATGTCAATGTCACAAAAAAACAAGAAATGCTGAAGAAATATTCTGATCAAAGGAGTGTAAAGAGACATAAAACTAAATGCTATCAGATCCAGTAGACTGGGGGAGGATGTTATAAAGAACATTAATAAGACAATTAGTGAAACTGAATAAGGTCTGTACAATGAAATCTGGATAATAGTATTGTAGCAATGTTAAACTGCCTGATTTGGTAATGGTACTATGGTTATGTAAGTCAATGTCCTTGTTCTTAAGAAATACATTCTGAAATATTTTACTTCCAAATGCTTCAGGGGATAAAAATACACACACATACACATATATGGAGAGAAAGAATTACGAAACAAATGAGATGAGTTCTTTGTACTATTCTTACAACTTTTCATTAAGTTGGAAATTACTCCAGAATGAAGTCAGTTCAAAAAAAGGCAACTCTAGCTCCATCTGGCGGCTATCTCACCAATGACAACAGGAGTGAGGTTCATTAACTGAGTCATCTAAACTTCCAATTTAGAAATATGAGACATCCTGGGCCTCCAATATCTCTCTAGCTTACAAAAATTCATTAACATGTTAAATCTATTTATATGAATATACTCTCTTACCTCCTTTTATTTAAGTTTGTCATTTTATCTTTGTGTTTCCTAAATGACAATGGGTCCTATCATTTTGAGTTTCACCTGGCAGGGAGTGAAGCAGCCTATGTTGAGGATTAATTTTGAACTTCATTTGCTGCCCTCATTTTTAGAGAGACTCTGACCTTTAATCCCATTGATTTTCATGTTCTCTGGCTCCCAGCTCACTCGGTGCTCTAGGCATTGTGTGGGGGCAAACAGAACAGGGGAAAGAGGTTCTGAGAGATCAGAGCCTGACTCACCCCCTCAGCAGCATCGATGAAAAGGACCACTCCATCTGAGATGCGCAAGCCAGCTGTGACTTCATCAGAAAAATTCACATGTCCTGGAAAGCAAATACCAAGTAAATCACTACTTGTGGGGAAGCAGGATGAGGCATAACTAACTTGAAGGGTGATCTCAGGAGCACAGCGAAGCTTGTGGACCCCTAAATGTTCCCTTACCCTCCTCCCCAGTTTCCTGCAGTGTATATAATTTCACCACCCACGTTACATGTTTAGATTAAGCTCTTATACAGGAGGTCCCTATATGTAAGAAGAGGAAAGTGTTTTACCTAGGAGAGCATAACACGTTCACACTCACTCACATGCCAGCTTAGTCTAATCAGCAGTAATCAGTTCTGTGGTTCTGTGGGACATAGGGCAATTTTGGAGGCAGGAGAAAGGGCAAAGGAAGGACTGGAGCACAAGGTACTGCTCCAGGGAGACAGTTCCTGATAAGATGCTGCCATGGGTGGGGTAAGGTAGGAGGTAGGGATGACAGGTGCAAGGGCATCGGGCACCTGTCGGTGCAGTGAAGGCAAATCTGCCCAAACCCAATTTTCCCTATTTAAAACTCTGACCCAAGTTGGTCCTTTCCCTAAGAGAAGGAGCAGCCACAGGGTGAGATGTGCTGCTCCCACCATAACCTGTGTGCTGACCACGTGGTAGCTATGTCTCCCCACAGGCACCTTCAAAAGACTGAGAGTCCCTGAGGCCAGGGACCATGTCGATTCATCTTTGTTGCCCCAGTGTCCAGTGTGGGGCCTGACACAGGCTGAAGTGAATACACGAATAAAATTCTCTAAAATGTATTAAATATTCAAGAGCAAAGAGAGGAGTAGCATAGAATCAAATGCCTGGTGCTTGTTAATTAACTAGTGAGAGCCAAAGGAGAGAGTTAAACATGAAAATTACTTCAATCAAGGTGGAGAGAATGCAAAAACAAAGACATGCTGCTGCTCTGTTCTGCTCTGGAAAGCGGGAGCACAGAACACGAGGAGGACCAGGAGCTGATGGGAAAAGGGCAAGGAAGGTCCTACCTGGAGTGTCCATGATATTGAAGAGATAAGATTTTCCTTTGGTATCTGGCAGGACCACTGTCACAGGAGTGCTTTTGATGCCAACACCTCTCTGAAAGTCACACAGAGAGTGGTCAAGACTTCTCTGATGCAAAAACGGTCTGCTCTCAGGGCTTCTCAGCTGATGGTAAATGACACTGAAGTCTCTCCTTGCAGCAGGTGTGATTTTTATCTAGGCCTCTACCCAGCATGACTTTGAAGATGAAATGCCTTGGCATTAAACAGCATTTTTTTTTTTATGGGGTGGGGGGAGTTGGTTCAAATGCTAAAAGAAAGTAAAAAACTGAAAACAAAAATAAAAAAAGCCCAAGCAAAGCAATATCAAAATTAACAGAATCCAAGGTCCTGGAATCTTACCTTCCTGTTGAGAGTCACTCACATACTGGAACCAGGTTAATAATTAAGTAGCAGATAAGTAGAAAGAATCTGGGCCATGTTAGTTTTTCTTTTTATATAAATATTACAGTATTTTCATTATAAAAACTAAAATAGAAAATATTCAAAAAAATCTAGTCAAATAAATCTATAAATATATTTTAAAATACTATTAGTTAACATTTGTTGATTGCTAGCCAGCACTGTTTAAAGTTCTTTTATGTTAACCTATTTATGTACTTGAGCTTTTCATGTGGTCACTTAGGAAAAAGAGACAGAAAAAACAGAGGAGGAAAAAGAAGGGGTCAGAGAGAAGGGATGAAGAGCCAGAAAGAATAACCAAACAGAATGGGAAAGACAGAGACATACCCTTACTTCTTTATACAGAAAGAGAAGCACAACAACATACAATGACATTTTCAGAGACAGCTACTCAAAGAAAGAGGTCATCATATGCACAAAGTCATCTTACGTTCTTTCAGGATGATGCCATTTTTAAAATCATGAGCTTCTGCATAACTTACAGGTAACTGTAGGTATTACCTCCTAGAATTTGCATTATTAAATCCTTCCTACCCTACTGCTCACCTACCCAGCTCTTTTCAAGTTATAGATCAGGGTGACTGGGAGAAGCAAGGAAGATAAGGAGGTGTGAGATGGGGGTGGGAGGGAGGCATGGTACGGAACAAGGTTCTACCATAAAGGCTCCCCTACCTTCCCTAAAAAGCTACTGGATCTGGTTGGGTCTGGTGCGGGCAACCATCTGTTTTCCCAAGACACACTTACCTCTTGTTCAGTGAAAAGGATGTCAGTGTAGCACAGCTGAAAAAAATGAACTGTTGTTACCACCTGCCTACCGACTCCTCTCCCACCTACAAAGCATCAATCACTTTCCCTCACCACCTCCCAACCCGAGGGTTTCTCCCTGAGGAGGAGAACAGACTGAAGCCGGCAGGGTGTCCCCACAGCAATTCCAGACTATGAGACGAGAGCCTCCCAGCTGAAAATTGCTCCTGGATGTGTGTGTTTGGTGGGGGCTGGGGGGCGGGCAGGGATGGTCACTGAAGACTCCTATGGCTGGAGAGTGAATTGGATCAAATGTACTGAGCTCTTAGAGTGGGAAAGGAGACACATACCAGCCTTCCTGGAACCCCCCGGATGTCAAGGCAGTCAATCTGGCAGGGATTGCCCATTTATTGCACTGAGACTCGCAGCCACGCCTGGCCTCATTCAGAGGCATTTACATTTACCATGAAAACAACAAGGTCCAATTGTATATTTATAGAGCAGGCTATTAACACTACGACAGGAAAGAAGAGACTATAAAAGTCAGGAGATATCAGAACAGAAGAGGGACCCCAGAAGTAGAACAGATCATCCAAAAATACTGCAGGCTGGTATTTGCTCTGCTCCTGAGGAAGTTGCAATTATTTTCTTAAGGGCTATTAACAGAGATTATGATGATAAAGCAACACTTTGTGGGAGTCATTATTTAAAAAGAGGGGAAGGAGGAAGGAACGGGAAGCAGAGAGACACCCCTCTATTTCTGAATGGTTCATCCTAAACCCTCAACAGCAGTTCTACTTACATCTTGGTCATAGCGTTTTCTGATTTCCGGGTGAGTCTGTTCTATTAAACAATCTACAAAACACGTCTGAAAAGGAAGAGAACGTTAAGACCTGACAACTACAAAGGAAAATCCACTGCGTCCCTCCCCCAGCTCCCAATACTCCCACACAACTTAGGAATAAGAGGAAGGGGAGAGCAAGGGGGACTATGGGCGGCAAAGGATTAACACAGAAGCCACAGGATTATTTTCAAATGAAAGATGAAATCTTTCTTGGACAGGCATCCCCCAGGAAATGAAAACTTATAAAAATCAGAGTAAGGCTCAATTTCCTCTTTTCTATCAGATGTAAACACAGGGCTCAGGCGTGCAAGTGGCTTAGGAACAGGGCCCATCCACTGCTCAGGAGAAGACAGAATTGTACAGGGCGATTTCACAATAGGCAGAGAGCCACAGGTCAGGAGGCCCAGCTTTAGGACGTCAAGCCACAACCTCTGTGATACTGAGGGCTGAAAACTGAGCAGGAATGAAGAGAAATCCTGTTCCAAGTAGCTGAAAGTGTCTCACCTTGCCATGGTGGAGATGGCCACAAAGGGTCACATTTCTGATGAGCTCTGAGTTGTCCATCAGATCTGCCAAGAAACTGAAAAGAGAAAGAAGAAGAAAGGGACTTTGACAAAAGTTTTCAGATGAGGAGCAGTGCAAAAAACCCTAAAGGTGTTTCAGGTATTTTAGCCAGAAATAAATTTCAGACCAACTGGAGAATGCTCAGAGGCAGATGTGAATTTCCCCATCTACACAGTCTTGGCTTTGAGAATAGAGCAACCTGTGAATGAAGTGTCATGGGGACTCTGATAGTAAAATCAAGACTTTGAACTGGTTTGAACCAGTTCAGTCATGGCTCACAAAGTGAAACCGGAACAGACCCAAATTCTGAAAATTTTGGTGAACGAGAACAATAACCAGAATGGGAAAAATTACAAGTTGAAGCCCTGGAATGGGAGACTCAGAAGAGGCGTTCCGAGTCCCCTCAGGAACCTGACGCGGGAAACTGGATTATTGCAAGGACTGTTAAGAGCAACACACATTCAAAGCAGCGTGGTATCCTGTCATCTTTGAGCAGGGGACTGTTTCCAACTCTGCTCAAAATCCAATGGGCAAGAGATTTGGTTGCTAAGCAATGTGTACGCTGCCCTTGTTTTCTAAGAAGGAGATTAAGTTTCTAGCAGGGCTTTGACTCGTAATTTTTCCTGTTCTGGTTTCGCTTTGGCGGCCATGATTGAACTGGGCAGAACCGGTTTAAAGCCCTGAGTAAAATAATGACATTAAAAAAGAAAGCAAACAATGGAATACTACGCAGCAACGAAGAACAATGATGAATCCGTGAAACATCTCACAACATGGATGAATCTGGAGGGCATTATGCTGAGTGAAATAAGTAAATTGCAAAAGGACAAATATATAAGACCACTATTATAAAAATCCAAGAAAAGGTTTACACACAGGAAAAAACAATCTTTGATGGTTACGAGTGAGGTGAGGGGTCGGGAGGGGAAATCACTAACTAGAGAGTAGACAAGTGTTAACTTCGGTGAAGGGAAAGACAACACACAATATAGGGGAAGTCAGCACAACTTAACCAAGGCAAAGTCACAGAAGCTTCCTAGATACATCCAAGCACCTTGAGGGACTGAGTTACTGGGGCTGAGGGCTGGGGACCATGGTCTCAGGAGACATCTAGGTCAATTGGCATAACATAGTTCATAAACAAAATGTTTTACATCCTGCTTTGGTGACTAGTGCCTGGGGTCCTAAAAGCTTGCAAGCGGCCATTTAAGATATGTCTACTGGTCCCAACACCAGAGCAAAGGAGAATGAAGAAAACCAAAGACACAAGGAAAATATTAGTCCAAAGGACTAATGGGCCACATGAGCCATAGCCTCCACCAGCCTGAGGCCAGAAGAACTAGATGGTGCACAGCTACCACCTCTGACCGCTCTGACAGGGATCACAATAGAGGGTCCTGGACAGAACGGGAGAAGAAGTAGAACAAAATTCAAATTCACAAAGAGAACAGACTTACTGGTCTGACAGAGACTGTAGGAACCCCCAAGACTATGGCCCCTGGACACCCTGCTAACTCAGAACTGAAGACATTCCCAAAGTCCACCTTTCAGCCAAAGATTAGACAGGCCTATAAACAAACAACAACACACATGAGGAACATGCTTCTTAGTTCACTCAAGTATACGAGACCAAATGGGCAACATCTGCCTAAGGAAAAGAAAACTGGATGAGTGGACACTGATAACGCATGGTGTAAAGGGAAAGGGGGAGAGTGCTGACACACTGCAGGGATTGCTACTAATGTTATAAAACAATTTGTGTATAAAATTTTTGAATTAAAAACTAATCCGTCCTGTAAACTTTCACCTAAAACACACACACACACACACACACACACACACACACAGAAATGCAATTCTCAGCAGAGGTTCGAACTGGAACGAACTGGTTCGAAGCCCTGTGAAAAACATGTTTAAATAAAAATGTTATTTGTTAACACTGAAAAAAAAAAAGCGAGAAGAAAACCAAAACAACAAATATCAGAACTAGCACATCTACGTGAGTACTGTTCCTTTCATAGAAATCTTCAGGCTAGATGCTCTGCATTTATTTCACTGATGCCAAGGGGGCTAAATCACTTTGGGAGCTCCTCTTGGGAATCACTGCTGTCAGCGTCAGTTCACAAGGCATTCAAGAAAACTCCATCTCATCAATGCTGTTGAGCACAGAGGACCTCCATCTTTATCAAAAATCAGCACCGTCTGTCATGCTTATCACCAATGTTGTTTCAGGCAAGTATCCTTCAGATGACTTTGGCTCTTCTAAAATCAAGCCCGCTCTCAAAGATTGGAGATTTAAAAAACACCACTGAGATTGTGAAGGAATATGAAGAAAGTTATGCAGACGACTAAAAAGTTGTTTCAAAAACGTCTGACTGATGGAAGGTGAGCTGACCATTTTAGAAGGGACCCCACTCTTGGACGTATCAACATGTTTTCAAAACAAAACAAGAGAGTTTCATAATCTAATAATAAGTCACAAGCACTTCAATACGTGAAGGCCTTACAAGTACATTCCATCAATGAAAATGTTTTCAAAAATCGTTTGCAGTAGGAAGAGCCTAAGCGTTTCTATACCTATCTGCTGGTACCCTACCTTTTCGGCACAGTGGTTAAGAGCTTGGCTGCTAACCAAAAGGTCGGCTGTTCAAATCTACCAGCTGCTTCTTGGAAACCCTACGGGGCAGTTCTACTCTTCCCATAGGGTCACTGTGAGTCAGAATCAACTTGACAGCAACGTGTTTGGTTTTTGGTTTTATGTTCCCAAAACAGTAGTCTTCAAAACCCGCTGCTGTTGAGTCTATTTCAACTCACAGTGACCCTGTAGGATAGAGAAGAACTGCCCCATAGGGTTTCCAAGGCTTAATCTTTACAGAAGCAGATGGCCACATCTTTCTCCCACAGAGTGGCTGGTGGGTTCGAACCACTGACCTTTCGATTAGCAGTTGAGCACTTAACCACTGCACCACCAGGGCTCCTTCTTAACAGTCTAATGGAGTCAAAATAGGTAAAAAAGACCAAATACCCAGTTCTGGCTCAAAGGCTGGTTTCCAATACCAAACTAACAGTTTGAAAGAAAACAGCTGAGATCTGGGCATGAGCTAAGGGAAAAATTAAGATTCAGCCTAAATACCCCAGTGGCCATTTAAGCTGAAGGAAAATTTTGGCAAAATGCAGAGAGAGATTTTTGCTCTCACAATCCACTGACTACTTTAACCATAAACTACCTCCCTCCTCCATGAAAAGATGAGCCCACACGACTCCTGCAGAGGTGACTTACTCCATTTCATACACCGTGACAGGTAACGTCTGCTCCATCAGAGTGAATTTCTTGGTTTTCACTGGCTTAATAATGGGTTCTAGGGGGAAAAAAAGTCATTGATGTTCAGGTAGGCATACGATATAAAAATACAGAGCTCTATTCCACTAAACTTTCAGAATATATAAGACATCAATTTATTTTATTCTCAAGGATCACTCATATGTTGAGAAAATTCTGGGGATGCTATTTGGCATGACACAGTGAAGGATCTTGAACTGTGGACTGAGGAGTTTGGACTTCATTTTGTGGGAGGAAGGGAGAGAGAATGGCTACCTACTATGGTCAATGTCTGTTCAAAATCTCTTCTTGTATTTATAAAATGCAACTATTTTTCAGAAGATCAATGAAAATTGTTGTTGTTAGCTACCATCAAGTCGGCCTCCAACTCATGGTGACCCCATGTATTACAGAGCAGAACTGCTCCATAGGGTTTTCATAGCTGTAATCTTTACAGAAGCAGTTTGCCAGACCTTTCTTCTGTGGAGCCACTGGGTAGGTTTGAACCAACAACCTTTAGGTTAGCAGCTGATCTCAAACCACTTGTGCCACCCAGGCTTCCTGAAAATTATTCGGAGGTGGAAAATAAATATCATGAGGTATGGCTGAAGGGGTTTGGGGTTAATTGGGTGGAAAAATATATCTCCCACAGAGTGGCTGGTGGGTTCAAACCACCGACCTTTCGGTTAGCAGTCGAACGCTTAACCACTGCACCACCAGGGCTCCCTCTTAACAGTCTAATGGAGTCAAAATAGGTAAAATAGACCAAATACCCAGTTCTGTCTCAAAGGCTGGTTTCCAACACCAAACTAAAGGTTTGAAAGAAAACAGCTGACATCTGGACGCGAGCTAGAAAAAGATTCAGCCTAAACAGACCAGTGGCCATATAAGCTGAAGGAACTTAGTAATGGCCTTCAAGCACCTAAACAGATGTCAGATAAATAAAGAAATAACTCTTATTTTACTTAGTGATAAGCTAAGAATTGTATTGAATATTAAAACAGGGCTAACGGAATCTTAATCCAGAAATAGTACCTGAAAGTAGTAAAACTGATTAATTCATTCAGTGAATTTTTCAGATTGCTCACCACTATGACATGAAGTTTCCCAGTTTTAATTTCCCGTCTCACAACCCAGAGCCTTCTGACTCACCTGTGAGAGGCTGGGTGTCTTCCTCCTGGACTATGGTCTCCACCTCAGGACCGTACACCTCCTCGGCTGTGGGGTAGTACTTCTTGTCCTCATGTAGCACCACCTCCATCCCGGGGTGATCGTCATCATGATCTCCTATGTCGTCGTCATCATCATCATCATCCATCTGAAAGCAAGAGGGAAGGAAGCTCTAAGAGGCATGCACTTCTGCTCTATGACTAACAACTGCAGGTACATGAGTAAGAGCACTAACTCCTCATGCTTGACAGCTTCTTCAGTCTTATGCTGAAGAGTCAGCAGGCCAGGTTCTACTCCTGTGTGACCCTTCGTGAAGAGAAAACAGCGTGCCCTACTTCAAGCTGGCCCCTCCTTAGTGTGTGCCAGTGGTCACAAGGGGATTGAGATCAGGAAAAACAAATGGTGCATCACAACGCACCCTTTTAACAGAAAAATAATTTTGTCCAAGGTCAGAAACCAGGTTGAAACTAGAAACGAGCCGTCGCCTTTAAATTTTTCACTTAGATTCACAGAATTGTTTAAAAAAAAACAACAAAGCTTTGTAATTAGGAGACAAGCAAAAAAAAAAAAAAATCAGCAATACATATATTTATACCCTATACTTTTGATGACTAAATTATATAATAGATATATTTACAATGGCAAATAAATAAATAAGAGTAGCTGTGGAGGTTGCTTGCTTATGTACAACCAAATACCTCATGGGATTTGGCTCCTTTGGTTCATGGTTTCATGGGACATCCCAGTTAATTGGCTTAATAACATATTTAGTGCTTCTGTTCTATCTCCTAGTTCAATGCGTAGTGCCAGGGGTCTTAAAAGCTTGCAAGCTGCCATTCAAGGCACAATTGGTGTCTGTTCACTTGGAGCAACAGAAGAAGGAGAGTCAGGAACAGGAGGAGGAACCAGAATGTGTGGCTAATTGCCTCCATGAACCACTGCCTCCTCTGCTATGAGACTAGAAGAACTGGATGGTGCCCGGCTACCATTACTGAACATTTTGATCAAAGAACCTATACAAGAATCTTGATCAAAACGGGGAAAATGCAGAAGAGAATTTCAAATTCTCATAGACTCCAGACTCCTGGAGCCATGGAGGCTGGATGAACCCCTGAAACTACTGCCCTAAGATAATCTTTAAACCTTAAACCAAAAATATCCCCTGAAGTCTTCTCAAAACCAAGCAATAGTTTAGCTTAACTAGTAAAGGATGCCTGCCTTGAGCATTGTGCTCTTTTAAGATCTATCTATATGGGATCAAACTGACAGCAGCAACTTGAAAGATAAGATAGGAACCTCAGGGGGCAGTGAGCTGATGGTAATGGGGGAGAAGGAACAACTCGGAAAAGGAGAGTGAGAACGGTTGCACAACTCAAAGAGTGTAATCTATGTACTGAATTGGACGTGTAGAAATTGTTGAATTAGTGCATGTTCTGCTGTGTATATTCTACACAAAAACAACAAAAATAAAATAACTTATTTTTTTTTAAAAAACCAAATATTTAATGAGCACCTACCATATGTCAGGCACTCTTCTGGGCACTGTCTTACAACGCCTCACACATTAGGGATTCTCTAAGGGCAGGAAGAGTGTGCTATTCACCTTTGTGGCCGTAATGCACAGCACAGTGCCTGCCACAAAGCAGACTCCATCAAATGAATGAATGCATTTTTTCCATAGTTAGGTTTTATCCTTGTCCCTACTGAATACTTCCAATAACATGGCCCCTGCTCACAAGGCAGCCCATTTCCCTGCTGGAAAACTCTGCTAGAAAGTTAGTCTGTGTAACTGACTTCAAATCCACCTCCTTATAATCAACCCACTGGTCATGAGAAACATTGAACAAAGCTATTCTCTATTCTGCCAAAAAGTTCTTCACATAATCAAAAGTGGCTACTCTGTCACTCTCTATATTCCAAAACATCCTGGATTAATTCATTCACTCAACAGATACTTACTGAGCACTTACTACGTGCAGGCACTACTCTAAGCATTGACAATATAGCGATTAAAAAACAAAGGTGATGACATTTGAGCAAAGATCTGAAGGAAGAGAAAGCATAAGCCCTGCAAGTACGTGGCGAAAGAGCACTTTAGCTGGATGAAACAGTAAGCGCAAAAATGCAACAGGAGTTGGCACCTCTGAGGATTAGTAAGGGGGCCAGTATAGCTAGAGTGGTGTACACGATAGGGAGAATAGTATGAGCCAAGGTCACATAGGAAGTGATCATGCAGAATCTTCAGGATCATTCTAAGTAATTTGATTTCACTCTAGGGGAGTGGTTCTCAACCAGCAGTGATTTTGGCCCCTTCCCTGGGAACATCTGACAGTGTCTGAAGACATTTTTGGTTGTCACAACTGGGTATGTATGGGGTGGGGGGAAGGTTTGTGCTACTGGCATCTCGTGGGTAGAGGCCAGAGATGCTGCTAAACACCCTACAGTGCATACAAGAACCCCTACACAAAGATTTTTTCTGGCCACAGATGTCAACAGTGCCGAGGTTGAGAAAACTAGGGGGTTTTGAGCAGAGGAGTGATACGATCCAATTTTTGTTTTAAAAGAATCTCTGATTCTCATGCTGAGGATATACTGCAGGGGAGCAGAAGTAGAAGAAGGGAGATTATATAGTTATGAGGCTACTTCAGTAATTCAGGAAAGAGATGATAGTGGTGGCTTGGACCAGAGTGGTTAGCTGTGAAGCTGGGAAGGAGAGGCTGAATTCTGGATATACATGTACTTTTTTATTATGAGATATTTATTTAACATTGACTTATGGTATTTTTTTTTTAAATGAATGTTTACAGAGCAAACTAGTTTCTTATTAAACAATTAATACACATATTGTTTTGTGACACTGGTTGCCAATCCCACAACATGACATGTCAACAATCTCCCCTTCTTGAGCTTGGGTCCCTCATTACGAGCTTTCCTGTCCCCTACTGCCTTCTTGTCCTTGCCCCTGGGCTGGTAAATTCTGGATATATTTTGAAGGTAGAATCAAAAACATTTTCTAATGAATTGACAGTGTGTGAGGGGAAAAAAAAGAGAGACAAGGTTTTTGATCCGAGCAATTGGAGAATGGCCCCATCTTTACTGAGATAAGGAAAAATATAAAAGCAGGTTGGGGAGGAAGATCAGTAGTTAGGTTTTAGAGAGGCTAAGTTTGAGATGCCCTACCAAACATCAAGTAGGAAATTGGACATACACATCTGAGGTTCAACAGAAAGGTCAGGGTTGGAGATACAAATTTGAGAGTCCTCAGTGAATAGAAGTTATTTAATAGATTGGATGTGATCCTCATGGGAGTGAGTGTAGGCAGAGAGGAGGTATGATGAATAGGGTCCTGGGGCCTGTAGATGTTTAGAGGTCAGAGACAAGGAGGAACCAGCAGTGAAGACTGAGAAGAACAGTCTGTGAGGAGAAAGAAGACCAGGAGAGAAGTGTCCTGGAAATCAATGGAAGGGAGTATTTTAAGGAGGAGGGAGGAATGAGCTGTGTCACACACTGCAGACAGGTCGAGTAAGACGAGCACTGGGAACTGACCATTGGATTTAGCAGGCCAGAGGTCACTGGTGACCTTGACAAGGGCAGTCCCTACTGTGTGGGAGGCAAAAGCCTGGTGGAAGTGGGTTTGAGAGAAAATGGGAAGAGAGGATTTGGAGACAGCAAGTATCAACACTCTCTCAAGATGTGTTGTATTGGGGAGCAGGGAAATGGGATGTTAACTGAAGGGGAATGTGGGAGTCAAGAGAGGATATGAAGATGAAATAACAGCAGGCCTGTATGCTGAGGGGATGATCCAGTAGAGACAAGGGAGAATTGCTGGAGTGAACATCTTCAGTAGGTAAGAAGGGATAGGATCTAGTAGATAGAAACCGGATCAATCATCTAAAAGAACATGAGGGAAGGCAGCGTATATGGGCACAGATGCAGGGAGGTGTGTAGATGTAGTGGGAACTCGTTTTCTTTCACACAAATTCCAACATGTCAGCCTCTTTCACAAAAAGAACACAAAATCCTCCAGTGGTGAGCCTACTGGCTACCTCTCACCATCTTCACACTCTACTTCTATTAATGTGGCCCAAGAATACATTAGCTCTTTTGGCAGCCATACATATCCTATTGGTGGTGGCCCCAAAACAACTATCAAGCCAGTCTTCTCCCACCCCATACTACTGAATGCATTTTGAATCTGATTGCAGGATTTTATGTAGTAATTCCCAGCTGTCTGTAGTTATTTCTATTTTAATATCCTGACAGTAGCTCAAACTCAACAAACTTAAAATGAAACCAAACAAGCACCCTTCTATCGCTTCCTTTTGTCTGTTCATAACATTGGTGTTCCTCCAGTCATCCCAGCTCCCCTCATTCTCGTTCTGCCCTCCCACATTCAAAGAGTTACCCAACTCTGCATCTCTGCATCCCTGTTGGGAACACTGTGATGAACTCCTGGCTGGTATCCACACATTCACTATAGGAAGCACCCTAGGCTTTGCTTTGGTTACATCATCCCTTACTCCCTGTCTTAGTTATCTGCTGCTATAAGAGAAATACCACAAGTAGATGGCTTCAACAAACAGAAGTTTATTCTCTCACAGTTTGGGAGGCTAGAAGTCCAAATTCAGGCCACCAGCTCCAGGGGAAGGCTTTCTTTCTCTGTTGGCTCTGGGGGAAGGTCCTTGTCATCTATCTTCCCCTGGTCTAGGAGTTTCTCAATACAGGGACCCTGGGTCCAAAGGACGCATTCTGCTCCCAGCTCTTCTTTCTTGGCGGTATGAGGTACCTCTCCTCTCTACTTGATTCTCTCATTTGTATCTCAAAAGAGATCGACTCAAGATACAACCTAATCCTGTAGAGTGAGTCCTGCCTCATTAACATAACTGCCTCTAATCCTGCCTTATTAACCTCATACAGGTTATGATTTAGAACACACAGGAAAACCACATCAAATCACAACATGGAAGACAACCATACAATACTGGGAATCATGGCCTAGCCAAGTTGACACACATTTTTAGTGGACACAATTTAATCCATAACACTCCCAGTTCCTCAGTAGTCCTCCATCCAAGGCCTTCTCTGGTCTGGCCCCATCTCCTCAGCTTCCCACGCACAGCTCTCCTCCAGGGACTGTGCTTTGGGCAATCTGGAGGAGAAATCATTCTCCATTAATATATAACCTCTGGGTCCCTGCTCACTGCACTCCTCTCTGGAATGTCTTTCCTTCTTTGCTGTCTCCACTACCAAAATCCTATGCATCTCTTTACTGTTTTAAACCTCAAAAAAACAATTAAAAACAACAACAACTATGCATTCTACGTGGACTAGGAGGCTATAGGAATCCTCATGCTGCCAGAAGGAGTGTAGACTGGTGCAGCCATTCTGAAGAGCAATTTGGCAGCAGTCAAACTTGTTGTTAGGTGCTGTTGAGTCAGTTCTGTCCACAATGACCCTATGTACAACAGAACGAAACACTGCCCAGTCCTGCGCCATCCTCACAATCATTGCTGTGCTTCAGCCCACTGCTGCAGCCACTGTGTCAAGCCATCTCATGGAGGGTCTTCCTCTTTTTTGCTGACCCTCTACCATACCAAGCATGATGTCCTTCTCTAGGAACTGGTCCCTCCTGGTAACATGTCCAAAGTACAGGAGACAAAGTCTCACCATCCTTGCTTCCAAGGAACACTCTGGCTGTACTTCTTCCGAGAGAGACTTGTTCTGTCTTCTGGAAGTCCATGGTATATTCAATATTCCTTGCCAACACTTAGTCAAACTAAGAATGTACAAATTAAATATATCCAAATATATAAATAAATATATATATTCATATTCCCATGATCAGCAATTGTGCTACTGAGAATTTAAACCAAGGAAATTCTCACCAGATGTATAAGGGGACACAGCTAAAATGTTCACTGCAGTATTGCTGTGGTGAGGGAAGGCTCCTGGTGGGTAATCTGGGTGTCAATCGGTAAGAGAGCGAAGTGCACCAGGTAGAACTGAGCAGCAGTCATATGCCACAGACTAGATCTACATATAGCAACAGGGATGGATCCTAAAATCACAATACTAAGTGGGAAAAAAAAGAAACACAACGATACAGATAACACCAAACCATCTACTTAAATTAAAAATACAAGGCAACCATACACATTTTGCTACTCACACAAACAAGAAATATATATACATTAGAATGACTACTAGGGGGGCAGGTATGAGAATGAAATAAAAGGGAATTAATAAATTAATTAAACAAGAGTGGAGCCCTGCACAAGCAACGATACTGAGGAGCATGAACCAAAGAGTACGATTACCTCAACCCCTGTACCTGAGGTGAAAACAAATATTCACATACCACCTACCCATTTTTTTGTTTTTTATATTTTTTTGCTAACAGCTTGAGATATAATTCATATAACATACAGTTCACCCATTTAACATGCACAGTTCAGTGGCTTTTAATATAGCCACAGAACTGTGTAACCATCACCACAATCGATTCTGAACATTTTCATCTCTCCAGAAAGAAACTCCATACCCTTTAGCCATCACTGTTCAATCACATTCCCACATCCCCTCCTGCAAGCCTAGGCAGCTGCTAATTATTCTACTTTCTGTCTTTATAGATGCCTACACGCTCTTCAGGTCCACTTCAAATACCACTTCCTCAGATACCTTTCTTGGTCATCCCAGCCAAGAACGATCCTTTCTTACATATTACTACTATAGTACTTAGTATCAGTTAAACAGCACCTGTCCTTCCCTGCTTCGTATTGTAAATATTTCTTACTTCTCTATCTCCCCTGGTAAGCAACAGGTTCTTTGAGAGCAGGAACTGTGTGCCCTGGCACTCTCTGCATTGGGGTTCTCTGCACATACTAAGTGCTCTATAAATACTTACTCAATGAATGAATTATTGGGCTTTATTCAAGTCCGTTGAACTCAGATTCCATTACCCTGTACATGTGGAATCAACTCGGCACGGGTTTGGTGTTTCTTGTTTTTTTTTTTAAATGTCGCGTGCAAATTTTATAAATGTCTTTGCAATCCTCACTCAAGTCACTGATGAAAGGTTGAAAAGGACAAGACCAAACACAGACGCCAGGGGCATGCCACAGGAACTCTGGAGGTGCTCCATTAATCAATACTTTTTGATTCCCTTGTTCAATCAGGTATGACTTCCCTAACTGTACTACGACCCAGCCCATGATCCTTCCACAAGGACATCGTGAATGTAGTGGTTACCTTAGGAAGGGAAGCTAAATGGAATCAGGGCCAAAGAAGACCCTTCTGTCTATACTGTTTGATGAGAATGTATTCATGAACTACACGTGCAATGAAAAATACCTTTTAAAGTAACATTAGAAAAAAAAGCTGGCTGAAAAAAGATATCCATAAAAGACTCTTCAAAAGCCATGCCCAAATCAAAATACATCAGGTCCATAGCAAACCCCTGACCTATATCTACATCTATATCCCATCAAGAGAAAATTTGTATAAAACTCGTATTAGCCAACAACAACAAATAATAAATTATCTAAAAATAAATAAAAAATAAATGTAAACAAAAACTCACACTAGCTTCCTAAGTGTTCAACAGTCATCTGTTTTAAAATTCCTTCCATAATTTTACCATGGATCTACATCATGCTTACTAGTCTGTAGTTTCTAAAAGGCAGTGCCTTATTTCCATTTCTGAAAAATGGAACAATAGTTTCCTGATCAAGTTTCTGGCACTGCTGCCCTCCCCACAGTTTCTTAAAGATTACCACAGTGGCTCTCAGTTCACCTCTGCGAAGTCTCCCCCGATCCTACCTCCAACTCTAGGACGTAATCATCTGGGCCTGGAGACTTGAATGCACCTAAAGATGGCACAAATGGTTAAGCCTTGGCTGCTAATTGAAAGGTTGGTGGTTCAAATCCATCCAGAAGCTCCAGAGGAGAAAGACCTGGAGATTCGCCCCCAGTAAGACTACAGCCAAGAAAGCCTTATGGGGCAGTTCTACTCTGTCACATGAGGTTGCAATGGGTCAGAATCGAGCTGACAACACCTAACAAAGCTGCGAGATGCTTTCCTACCTCACATACGTGGCTTCAATTTTCTTTTTCCAGTGTTTATTTTTTCCAGTTTGAAGGATATTTCCCTTGATGGAGAAAACAGATGGCAGCCAAAACTTTTGTTCTGCTTTTCTGCTGTCCCTTGTTAATATCACATCTCCATTGCTAAGCAATGGGTCCATTCATTTCTTGTTTATCTTGTTCCAAATACTACTAAAATGTAAAAGCCACCTTTGGTGTCTTTTGCAAGCCTCAGACTATTCTGGACTTCATTCTCCATAGCCTACCTGACGAAGCGTTACAGGAATCTTTATCCGACCTTGGATATGTGCCTTCTCTTCCTATTCTTTTTATGCACTTTTAAACCTGAGCTTATGAGAAAGCACCTAGTGCAGCTGCACTTGGAGAAGTTGGCTAGCTTTTCTACGTTGGAATTATTCATAATTGTCAAAAAGCACTTCAGGTAAATGGAAGAAGAGCCACTACCAGATGAACTAGAGTTTAGATTACAAGACAATCTCACTGATGAAACATCTTATATTTCCTTTTGAAGCTTCAGTAGCTAAACTTTCTTAGGGGCAGTATACAAAAAAAAAAAACAAAAACAAAACCTGTTGCTGTTGAGTCAATTCTGACTCATAGCAACCTTATAGGACAGAGTAGAACTGTCCCATAGGGTTTCCACGGAGCTGATGGTGGATTCAAACTGCTGACCTTCCGGTTAGCAGCCGAGCTCTTAATAACTTCGCCACCAGGAGCAGTATAAGACCCCAATAAGTCTTACAAAAAGGGTAATAATGGAGATACACATAGGGTATTATAGAAGCACAGAGAATTCAGTGTTTTATTTTATTTTTTTAAGAGAGATTAAAAAAGCGATATATTTGTGTTACCTCATCAAGATCTTTGGCCTCTCTGCCCAGTTCATCATCATCTTCATCAGAATCAAGCTCTGGTCCAATATAATTCCCAAACTCATCATACAAGTCAGTATCCATGATGCTAAAATTGAAGGAGAAGAGTTAGATTTTGGCAAGGTAATCAAGGTGTTCCATGACATGGCCCCACCTTTAAGGTTGACCACATTCCTTCACAAACCTCCTATCCAGTTACACTGACCTATAGACTGCTCCCCTAAAAGCCCTGTACTTTCCCCTCTTCTCTTACTCATTGTTTACACACTCTCCTATTTTTACATATCCTTCCCTTTTTTTAATGCTAAAGAAATTTATTTTAAAATAACTTAAAAGAGTTTCAAGAATAATATAAATAATGTTCTTTTTCCTAAATTACTAGAGAGTATGCTGACAACGCAAGGCCTCCTTGTCCCCTAATACTTTAGTGCAACAGTCAGAAAACTAGGACCCACAGGCGAAATCTGGCCCACTGTCTGTCTTTGTACTGCCCACAAGCTAATGCTTTTTACACTTTTAAATAGTTGGAAAAAAGTTTTCTAATATTTCACGATACAGGAAAATTAATTACACAAAATTCAACAGTATCAGTGTCTATAAATAAAGCTGTATTGGAACAAAACCACACTTATTCGTTCATACTGTCTATAGTTCCTTTAGAGGAGTTCCTGCGTGGCACAAATGTTAAACAGTCGACTACTGGCCAAAAAGGTTGGCAGTTCAAACGCACTGAGAGGCGCCTCGGAAAACTGGCCTGGCAAACGGCTTCTGACAGGTCACAGCCTTGAAAACTCAATGGAGTTCTACTCTGCACACCTGGGGATCGCTATGAGTCGAAATCGACTCGATGGTGACAGACAACAACAACAATGCTGCCACAGACCTTTGCACCTTCATCAACATTTGTCTTTGTATGGCAGTTAACTGTTCATCTATCCAACGACAATTTAAACAATGACTTTGTTTTGTTCTAAACGAACAAAACAATACACATTCATTGAATGAATGAATGACTGCACCAAGACACAGAGAAGCGAGCTGACTTGCCCACAGTTGCACAAAGCTAGTTAGTGACTTTGGATGCCAGTCCTCACTGCAGATTCTCGCTATCAGTCAAGAGTCCCAAAAGGAAGAGATGAAAGCGGCCCAGACAGAAGACGGAGTGAGAGAGAGGACTAGACAGAGCATGAGCCTTGCCGAAGGGATTTTACGGATAGACAATATCGAAGGAAACCCAGGATCGGGGTCGGGGGAGGGGAGTAGAGGGAGAAGGGCTCTTTTAATCGGTCCCTTTTCCGCTCCAGGCCTCAATTTCTCTATCTGTAAAGTGAAAGCGGGGCAGATAGCATATAACCCTTTTCCATATATGACTTTTTAAATTTTCCATCCCAGCCGGAGCAACCTCCCCATACCGTTGACCCGCGCCAGCTCACCTCACGTCTGCTCAGCCAGGAGCCCGCAAGCGGCCACCGAAGACCGCGCTTCCGTCCCACGCCGCGCCGCGTCTGCGCCCGCAGTCAGGAAGGACCACACAGACGCCGAGGCCGCGTTTCTGCTCCGGAGGACAACCTTCCGCCTGAGAACCGGCTCGGAGGAGTCCCAGCCGCGGACAGCCGAGATGCAGTCGTGGGTCCCCAAACTAAGGTGCGGGCTGTCCCAAAGAAAATATGACCTGAGGAGGCTTGAATCTGATCAGGCGTCCCGGAGCCACCCTGAAAAGGGGCCTTCGAGAAGATCACGTGGGCAGGATGTTGGGACAGTTGCTAGGCAACCACAGCGGGTAGGAGTGGTTTGTGCCGAGCGTCCTTTGTACCCTGGTGTTTTCAGGGGATCCCCAAAGAAAGCAAGGGGTCCGAGACCCGGGCTGCTGGGGTGAACTTCCCGGTGTCTGACTTAGGGAGGCGGAAGGGTTAGTTGCTCTCTCTGTTCAACTACTGGGGAGGCCTTAGAACCAGCAGGAGCCAGGATGCCTGAGTTCAGTTCCTGACCCGGCCCATCCCAGCCCCTTGTTGGCGTTTGATTTCTTTGTGTTGGTGGCTGTTGGGTTGGATGCGCACCTCCTGCTTCCCTTCCCTAAGGCTGTTGATTATGCCTCTGCCACAAAATCTAGTCTAATCCACCAGCAGGTTAAAGAGAGATCTTACAGCAAATAAATGTTAAAGACTAGAACCCATGTAGATAACCTGCCTGTAGAAAGGGCCTGTCAGCATCAGATACACGGAGGCTCCAGAAGTATAGTGGCAGGGCTAAAGAGATTGCCTGAGTACATAAGGATCTGTGCTCCAGCCCAGGGCTGGACAGAGGGATTTGAGAACAGGGATCACTGAGCCCCTTCCTCTGCCACTTCTACTTGATTTCCTGCTCAATTATTGCATCTGATTTGGGTGAAAATTATCCTTCCCGATTAAAGATGTTTAATGCAGGATGAGATTTTTATCCTAGGGCTATAGAGTAGCTGATAATAGTTCAGCTTTTGTGTGAGGTCCTCTATCCCAACAATTCGCTATAAAATGAATTGACTGAATTCTGAGATCCAAAAGCCTCCTCAGCCAAAGCATGCAAAATTAAAATATTTTTAGAGGCAGAAAACAAAATTAACACAGGGCTCCAAACTGAAAGTCAGGGCTCCCTATTCTATTTTCAGTAACAACAAGTCTTGTGCAAGTTCCCACTCTGCAACTCAACTCCCCTCTGTTATGTAAAAAACTAGATTTTTGTAACACTATCCTCTTCTCCAAGATACCCAGAGTGCTTTGGGGTCATTTTGTGGGCTGGCAAGGAATCCAGAGGCTTCCTCTTTTCCCTGATACTGACCCTCTGCTGATGTTTATTTCCTTTACCTTCCCAGGCACAGGCCATGGAAAGGAATGACATCATTGACTTCAAAGCTTTGGAGAAAGAGCTGCAGGCTGCACTCACCGCTGATGAGACGTACAAGCAGGAGAATGCTGCCAAGTTACGGGCAGTGGAACAGAGGGTGACATCTTATGAGGAGTTCAGGTTGGCTCACTGCTATGTCCCTGTTACAGTAGACTATAGTGGATAAAGGGAAGGGCTCTGGAGTCAGATAGTTCTGGGCTTCAGTTCTGGCCTCACCTCTTATTAGCTGTGTGATCTTGTATGGGTTACTTAACCTCTCTGAGCCTCAATTCCTGATTTCTAAAATGAGAACAATTGTTATGATTTAATGAGTTATTGCATGTAATATTCTGAGCACAGTATCTAGCACATAGGTAGTGCTGAAAAACTGTCGACTACTGTTGCTATTATTATTGTTGTTGCTATTATTATTATTGTCATTTTGTTTCCTAGTGCTGCTGTAACACAAACACCACAAGTGGGTGGCTTTCATGAACAGAAATTTATTTTCTCACAGTTCTGGAGGCTAAAAGTCCAAATCAGGGTCTCAGCTGTGGTGATTCCTTCCTTGTTGGTAGCCCAGGTGTTCCCTGGTTCCTTAGCAATCCTCACATGGCATCTGTCTTCCTCAGTATGTGCTTGCCTCTGTGTCTAATCTCTTTTTATAACTCAGAGGTGATTAGGTTTAGGACACATCCTACACTGGAATGGCCTCGTTAACATAACAAAGGTATAGGGGTTAAGATCCAAGATGTATTTTAGGGGGACACAATTCAATCCATAACTGCCTGTTAACAGATTCAGCTTGTATCGTGCACAGTCCAGCTGCCTCACACCTACTTGTAACAGCACTAAGTCCACCCCTCAGTCTCTGTCCTGTGTCCACAGGGGTATTGTCCTTGCTTCACATTTGAAACCTCTGGAGCGGAAGGACAAGATGGGAGGGAAGAAAACCGCACCCTGGAACTGTCACGCTGCTAAGGGAAGGAACTGTCACAGTACTCGGGGAAGCACCTGCCAGGATGAGGCCACGGAAATATTCCAGGTAGATGAGGCCCAGCCTCTTTAGCCCAGTAGGTTCTCTGCCCTAAGCTCCCAAACCTGTCTTCTCACAACATATACCTTTGCCTTATTATTTTTTAAAAAATGTTTTATTGTGTTTTTGGTGAAAGTTTTCACAGGAAATTAGGTTCTTATTTAACAATTTCTGCACATACTGTTCAGTGAAATTGGTTATATTCTTCACAATATATCAGCATTCTCATTATTTCCATTTTGGTTGTTCTGTTTCCATTAATCTGCTACCTTGTCCACCCTAGCCTTCTCATCTTTGGTCTAGGGTAAATGTTAACCATTTGATTTCATCTAGATAATTATTTTGAGGAGCACAGTACTCAGGGGTGATATTATTTATTTTATGTGCCAGTCTATCACTTGGCTGAAAGGTGACCTCTTGGAGTGGTTTGAGTTCCAAGCTGAAAGAGTGTCTCAGGGCAATAATCTTGGGGGTTCATCTAGTCTCTTCTGATCCAGTAAGTCTGGCCTTTTTTTTTAGGAATTTGGGTTTTGTTCTACATTTTTCTCCCATTCTATCTGGGACCATCTACTGAGTCCTGGTTGGAACAGTTGGTGGTGGTAGCCGGGCACCATCTAGTTCTTCTGTTCTCAGGGTAGGTGATGTCATTGTTTGTGTAGACTCTTCTTTGAGTCTTTGGTTTCCTTCTCTCTCTTTAGCTCCGGACGAGTAGAGGCCAATAGTGTATCTTAGACGGCCGCTCATGAGTTTTTCAGACTCCAGACTCAACTCACCAAACTAGGATATAGCATTGTCTTTACAGACTAGATTATGCCAGTTGACTGACTTGCCCCATGAGACTCTGCTGTCAAACTCAGTAGACCAATCCCATGAGGTGTTTGGTTGTGTCTAGTGAGTATCCATAACTGTGCCCCTATGTGCTTTATCTTATACTTGAAAATATATGCAGTATGCATAAACATGTATATATATGTGCCTACAGTTACTCATATATGCCTTCCTGTACATATTTATGCATAGTTATATATCTATGTAACCAAACTTTGTTTAGTTGTTATTACTATTGTTGTTTTCATGTTAAGCCAACAGAGTCAGGTTTCTGCCTCTGATCCCACAAAGCAAAGCAGCCAGCTGATGATGTGGCCAAGTCGGGCTGGGAGATCAAGTTAGAAAGGTGGGCTGGGCAGGCCCCCTTCAGCCAGCCCTTTGACTTTCATTCCCAGAGCAGGTTTGGGTTTCTCCACCTCTGCCTTGTATTGTATATACTATAATGATCCTGTGGCAGTGTTGGAGGGAGACATAGCCTGTCAGATCCTTGACACTTACCTTGAGTTCCAATCATCCCCTCCACGCTGCTCAGAGTAAACCCTGACTTACTCTCGTAGACCGGGGCCATGTCCCCATTCATCAGAGGGAAAATCCTGGTACAACTGAGAATCTCAAATCGTGGCTTAGTTTTCCTTAGGGCCTGCCCTCCCTGTCCCACCCCTAGTTCCTGATCTAAAAATGAGACCCACAGGACTGCAGCCTTCCCAGTGCTCAGAGAGCAGTGCCGGAGCTAAGATGAAAACCCACAGCTGCCCTCACTGTCCCAGAGCAGCTGGAAGAGCTCTGGTCTCCTTTCCTTCTTCCTTTGTGGTCTAGGTGAAAACACTCTTCCAGCCTGAGACCTCAGCAGAGTTCTACCGTGATTGGCGGCGACACTTGCGGAGCGGGCCAGAGCGCTACCAGGCCCTGCTGCAGCTCGGGGGCCCAAAGCTGGGCCACCTCTTCCAGGCGGATGTGGGGTTTGGACTTCTAGGGGAGCTTCTGGTGACACTGGCTGATCATGTGAGGCCAGCCGACCGGGTGGCTGTTCTTGGGATCTTGCACAACCTGGCCAGCACTGGGCGCTTCACCTTGAACCTGAGCCTGCTGAGCCACACAGAGAGGGAGAGCTGCAGAGGCTTGTTTCGGAAGCTGCAGGCCATGAGTGCCCCTAGACTCACAAAGGAGGGGCTCAGCCAGGAGGAGCAGAGTCTGGAAGAGCAGCCTGGTGGGCCCCAGGAGGAGGAGAGGCTCCTGCAGGAGCTACTGGGGCTATACCAGGTGAACTGATAGGACCAGCTGCCCTCAGAGGCCCCCAGTGGTCACGGAGGTGTTTTTTATTGGTTGTTGTCTTGGGGACACTGAGGGCTATAAAGAGAAGCCCATACCTGATTGTCTTCTCAACTTGGAATTTTCACAGAAAAAGGAGGAATTGAGTCTTCCTCATGGCGCCTGTCCCTCTGTGGCTCTGTATTTTGAACTGTGTGGGAGTCAAGGGCCCAAGAAGTTGAAAGCAGTTTTGTTTCCCACCCTTAGATGGCGCCTTTAGAGCTTGCCAAGCCTCTAGTGTGCTGGCCCTGAGAGATGGGTGTGTGCCCAACCAAATGCTGCTAAAGTTCCACTTAAAGGGAAAATCTTCCATGGGAAATAAGTACTGATCTCCACAGCTCTCAATAAGAATATTTATAACCCAAAACCAATGAATGGATGTTTAATCAATGAATGATCAAATACTACCTTATTTGGGGTGCAGCATTTATCACCAGGGACTGAGTTCCTGTGCACTTGGGTCTGGGAAAGCCCCAAGCTATCGGCTCAGGTCTGGCCAGAGTCCCAGGCTTCTTACAGATGCCAGATGTGCAAGCATATGGGTTTCCTCCATCTCCTGGATTGTAAAATGGAAGACTTTTCTACCAGGCAGATGGGCCAGGGCCTGGAGCAGTGAGGCAGACATTTCCCTGTCCTAGCATCTGGGCCCTTGCTTCTCTTTCTGGTTTCCCCGACCCATTCATAGGTGAGTGCCAGTGTTCTAGAATGGGAAGTGAGCGCCAGGTTCTAGAATGGTTTTCCCATGAGACAAGGTCTGGAACATTAGAAGGGCATCTTGTACATCACCTGGGAATAATTTGCCTTGCCTTTGGCAGCTTCCTCTGCAGACTGTTGCTTGTTCTTCTGGCTGCTTAATCCTTTCCTTGTAGACTGCTCCCAAAAGTGAGTTTTAGAAGCCCTGAAGGCCTTTAGTACCTTGGTTTTGCCTTACAGCCTCTGACCCTTCTATCCTGCAGGCATGAGCCTGGCCCACACCACTGTGCTCCTGTGGGTGTGGGGCAGTCTCCAGGCCTTTGAAATTGTGGAGAAGGAGAACATTTTTCAGAAAACCCCCTGCCCAGCTTTCTTGATGTTTGACAATGCAGCCTACCTGGCCGACATGAGCTTTGAGCTTCCCTGCCACTGCAAGCCAGAGGAGGTGTCAGCTGTGGTCTGGTATTACCAAAAGCACCTAGGCAGCGGCCACACCAAAGTGCTGACAGACTTCGATGGGCGGGTGCTGACGGAGGCAGCTCAAGTACGTGTGGGCAGTGACATGCTGGTCCGCTTCAGCATCCGCATGTTCAGCTTGCTTGTTTTCCGGGCCCAGCCCGAGGACTCAGGCCTGTACTTCTGCGGCACCCGCAAGGGGGACTACTTTTACGCCTACGATGTGGACATCCAGAGCAGTGAGGGGATGGTGGCCACCTTCAAGGACGAGGGCCAGGAGCCCTTTGAAGATGAGTACCACGGGGACTTGCACGTCTTCACCACCTTCTGGGAGTGGACCCCCTGCGACCGCTGCGGGGTGCGCGGGGAGCAGTGGCGCATTGGCCTCTGCTACTTGCAGAGCCCAGACCTCTCCCCACGCTACCACAAGACAATGCCTGATGTGGTGTCCTGTGGTTCGCAGGCTGTGCCAAGGAAGCTGCGGACTATGGCCAGGGACCACACACCTGAGCTGCTGGTTCGGAGCTGCCTGGTGTCCTGTGAGAAGAGGAAGACGATCCGAGAGGGCATACTGGCCATCTTCAATTATGTGTCCAAAGTGGGCAGCCGGCCCTGGGTGCCCCAGGTGCCCATTCAGTTCCACAGGCAGAGGCTGGGCCATGGACTTATTATCTCCTGCCCTGGCGCCCGGCCAGAGCATGCTGTGGCCTGGGACAAGGACCACCAGCACCTGTACCGCACACAATACCTGAAGGGCATAAACAGGTCCATGCGAGTGTTCATCGACCATGGCAACCAGCTCCACATCCGCTTCACCCAGCTGAGTGACCGGGGCATCTACTATTGCTGGCGGCAGGGGGTGCGAGTCGCTGGGTTCCGGCTGGCTGTGAAATCTCGAGGGCACTACCAGGTCTCCTTCTCAGACCCTGAGACTCGCTCTGTCCTCCAGCTCACCCTGATAGGCTACCTGCTCATCACAGCAGTCTTTGCCACTATTCACCTCTGTCGTTGCTGCTGTTACTTATTCCACTGTTGTCCCAACTTCTCCCCCTAGGCTCTCTCTTCCCCAGCCCTGAAGACCAGTTGTGCTTAAATGTGTTTGTGAAATGATACCAGATTCCTCTAAATGGGCATCCTGGCCTGGGACATGTGGCAAAGAGGCGTGGACAAATCTGTTACAATCTGCTCCCCATTTTCATGGGTGGATCTGGGGCCTGATCTGGGAAGTGGGGAAGCCAGAGGCAGGTGGGAGTTTGGGGACTCAGGTCAGGCTGGAGGTAGCCAGGGTGCACGTTTTCTGACTTTACACTCGGATCACAGAAGAAATGAACCCAACATTTATCAAATGTCCTACTCTGTGTTGAATAGTGTTTGAGGTACTTTTACCTTCTTGCCTTTGAAGTTTGCCAAGTGGTTACTGATTGAATTGGGGGTAACAGGGAGAGGAAGGAAGAAAAGAGGGGAGTCCTAGTTTGTATCCCCTTTGGCTTCCTCCCCAGCCTTGTCCTTGGACTGGCAGGAAGAAATGGAATAAAGGTAAAGACTAGTACACGGGATAATGTGCTTGGCTGCTAACTGAAAGGCTGGAGATTTAAGTCTATCCAGAGGCATCTTGGAAGAAAGGCCTGCTGATCTACTTCTGAAAAATCAGCCACTGAAAACCTGATGGAGCACAGCTCCACTCTGCCATGCATGGGGTCGCCATGAGTCAGAGTCCACTTGATGGCAACTGGTAGTACAGGGGAAATGAGCGAGGAAAGTGGGGATCAAACTCAGAGCTTTTCTGAGAGATTGTACCCAGGCTGAGGGTTAGGGGTGAGAAGAGAGGGAGGGAGCAATAGGTCAGGGCCTCCAGGGCTACTGTGGCAGAGCAGGGTTAGATATGGGATTTGTCATGTGGCTCTGGGGCTGCTGCTGTGGTGGTCTGGCGGGGGGTGTGCCAAGATGATCAGTGATAAGAAGCAAGTTGGGTCTTGTCCAAGGCTATGTCCTCCCCGGCCCCACCTGTCTGACAGATTCGAGTCCACTCTGGGGAAGGCCGCAGCATTTGTCTTTATTTTTTCTCAGTGACTAAAGGCAGCAGTAGTGCCCTGAAGGTCAGCAGCAGGTGGCAGGAAGGGTTGAGGAGAGAGGGCATCAAGTCTTGGGAAAGAGGGAAGGACCCCCACCTCTCCCTCTCATTGCGCTTTGAGCAGAGAGCGGGACCCTGGAGTGGGCCTTCTCAGCCCCACTTCTGGGCCCACTACTGTCTTCCCAGGGAAAGCAGAGCAGGTGCTCTGGGCTGGAAGCATCTGCCCTGAGCTTCCCTACCTCCAGGCTTGTGCCTCAAGTTCTTGGCTTATAAAATAGGGTACGTGGCTAAAATATGGGAGTATTTTTTGTGTGTGAGTGAGAGGGGACCACAAGGGGCCCCTGGCTTAGGGAAAAGCAGCTGGTCATTATGGGGTAGAAAGGGTCATTTGCTGGGGTCAGGATGTGGCAGTCCCGGGGATTCTGAGGCCTAGATGGACAGGGACTAGAAGGTGAGGCAGAGGCCTTTGAAACTAAAATAAAGCTGTCTCCGCCGCCGCCCCCCCACCCCCCAACTCCTCTGCCATGGGCAGCAGCCCTACTCTCTCCTGTTTCAGCAGCATCTTCAAGAAGGTGAGTCACTTCTTGATTTCCATGATCTAAAGGCCAAGTGTCACCTACAGCCCCCCACTATCCCCATCAGCACCCCCTCCAGCCTGTATGTAGGGCTTGGCCTCTCTGTACCCATACCTAGGGGCCAGGCAGCCCCCCTCTACTCCCTCCCGGCACCCCTTCCCTCTCCACTTACACTATCATCCCCCAAGTTCTGAGAATCAAGCTCCCACATGCCCACAGGATCCCACAGGCTGGTTCCCTGGATGGTGGCTCAGTGGAGCGGAGACATCTGAGTCACCACTCAGGAGCCCCTCTGAGATCTGGGCAGGCCAGGAATTCTGTCTGGTGACCACACCAGGTAACAGGACATGTCCACCTACTCTCAGGCTAGCCAGGGTCAGGCTAGAAGAAAAAGCCTCTGGCCAGGGCTTCCTTGCCTGCGGGGACTCCCCTTTCCTGTCTCAGAGTCTCGGTTTTCCTCCAGCAGCCCGAGGAAACTCAAAGACCCAGTTCCCAGACAGTCGTGGAGACTGGCTCTGGCAACTGTTACCATAACAACAAGTATTGGGGATGTGGAAAGTGAATTTATCAGGTTCCCCTGCCCTTTTCAGCTTCTCCCATCCCTCCTAACCCAAGCTGCTGGCCATGCCTCCGCAGGCCACCCCTTTGGGGTGAGTGAGTGCAATGCAGCTCCCAGCATTAGTGCCGTTAGTTGGAGTTGCTGGGTGCTGGTGGGTGCTGTCTGGCAGCCCTAATGCTGATGGGGCCTAAGGCAGCAAGCTGGCAAAGAGGTGGGGAGGGTGGGAACTCAGGTCTGGGGAGATTACTAACAGAGGAGGAACAGCTACCCTGCCTCCAGCTGCAGGCCGCCACACTGTGAGGCAAGGGCCACCAGGTGGGTCCTGTGTCACATCACGTCCTTGTGCTCCTGCTTGGACTCCTTGATGACCTGCAGGGGACATGGAAGGTGCACAGTGCAATAGTTGGGAGCTCACACTGACCCCAGCCCAGCCCACCACTGCTAGGCTGTGTAACCCTGGGCAAGTCCCACCTCCCTGGATCTTTCTTTTCTGTGATAACCGTAGTCAGAGGAGTAAATGAGGTAATGCCTATAAAGCATTTTACACAGTGCTGGGCACCTGGTAAGCTAATGGTGTTAAGACTATTACTGTTGCTGGTGTGAATGGGGGGGGGGGGGGGGCGCTGATGCCAAATCCCCCTTCTCATCTCTCTGAGAGGTTCCTTTAACCAAGCTGGAAATTGAAAGCCCTCCCTCTTCCCAACTGTCCAGGCCAGAGTTAGGGGTGAAAACGTTAACCTTAACTCTCTCTGGGGCTGGAGGCACCTGACTCTGAGGGTACGAAAGGGAGACAGCCTGAGCTAGGACCCCATCTCGTGGCCTAGGTACCCACGCACCCCTTAGAACAGCCAGTGGAGAGGCTGGAGAAATGAAATTACATCCAGCTCTCTAGGGAGCTCCTGTGCATTGTCGAGGCCTTTCTGTGGGCCAGTCCCCGGCTGTCACCGAGACTGGCCTCAGAATCCTCACCTCTCCATCCTGCATCTCCACAGTCTTCACCACGATGTTCCTCTTGAGGTGGCCTTCAGACACGGACTTGGTGTCCAGGCTGGTTTCTGCAGGCGTGAGGACAGGAGGCCTCCCATGGGCTCTTGGGGACTAGGCATCCTCTCCCACCCTCAGCCTCCGCATCACACACCTCCAATCCTGAGCAAGAGAGCCCATCCAACCAGGCAGGGAGCAGCCAAGCCACTTCCAAGCCAAGCCACTTCCAAAGGGGCTGGAGACTGTGCTGGGCAAGTGCTGGCTGCTCTGTCCAGTGCCCTACTGTGTCTCCTGGCCTGGCTTCATTTCAGCCCCACCACAAACCCTTGTCTGGCACCTGGCTTTTTGATAACCCAGCATTGTGCCAAGGAAGGCGGACATGGGGAGTACTCTGAAATCGGGAAGACCGGAGCTTGAGTCCCAGCTCAGCCACTAACCAGCCATACGACTGTGGGAATTAATTTACCTCTCAGCCTCAGTTTCCTCATTGGAAAAATGAGGATGATGGTGCCTACTTCTCTAGGTGGGAGTGAGGAGCCAGCGAATTGAAATAATGTATGTTAATTATTTGGCACATATTAGTGCTCATTACATGTGGGTCCTTTGCCTGTCCCCTTTCCCTTTTCCTACTTCTCTCTGCCTCTTATCTGCCTTTACCACCTGGCACCTGCCAGTATTATCTCTACCTGGTCAGCTTGGTTAACCCTTCTGATGTTGCATTAAACCCCGGGACATGAATATCAGGTATTCCTTAATTTTCTAGCCCAGAAGAAGAATTTTTTCCCCTTTCTAAGAATCACTCGAGAGCTACATACAAGTAAAAAGTAATTTAGTTTCCCCTCTCTCCAAGAGAAAAATATAACATGTCATATTCACTAGTATTTAAAATTAAGAACAGAGAGCATAAAACTTTATTCACTACAAGAGCAGCAGTCCAGGGGGAAATAATCCTCTGGGCTGAATCAGCAATGAGCTGAGCAATGGAGCCTTGGGGACAGGAATTAAATAGATAGCCTGGCCGCTGCCAGGCACTGCCAGACCCAAGGGGCTTTCCCAGTGACGAGGATAACGTGAGGCAGAGCCTGGCCTCAGAGCCTCTCTTCTGAGTACTCAAGGACACACCACTGTTAGCACTGGCCAGCTCTGATCATTAAACATATGTTGGGCTTGGTGAGGCTCACTCCCTGTCAAGCTGAGAAAAGCGCTGTGTCTGACAGGCAGGCAGCTAACCTAGAGCCGGCAGGGCTCCGTTTACAATCGGGTGCACCTCTATTGGTATAACTTGTATTGTGAGGTTTTTGAGATGTCTTGTGACCTTGTGACCTTCCCCTTCTCTGGTGCTTTTGTCCCCTGCAGTGACAAGCAGTTAAAAAAAAACAAAAACATAAAACACTTAGACAGGCAGAACTTGCTCAGGGACCTGCTGACAGGGGAGAGGTTAAGACCCTCCCCCAGTTCTGCAGTGGAATAGGGCACAGGAAGGGGCAGCGGGACACGGGCCAGAGCAGACCAGGAGCAGCTGGATGCCTCACTGGGAAAGGTCCTGGGAATATGTGTTCTGGCTAGAAGGTCTGCAGTGAATCACAAAACCCCCAAGGAGAGTACCAAACCCCTTGTACCAGATTGCTTTGCCCTGGTCCTTGGCCCCCGGCCAAAGCAAGAGCCCATGGGCCTGGGGAGGGTGCAGGAGTCCAACACCCTTCCCACAAGGCCCTGCTCTACTGACCTCGGATCTGCAGGTTGGAGAAGGTCTGCACTGGAATGGTGATGCTGAAAGACAGAGGGAGATGGGTGACCTGGCTGCCCTAGGACATCCCCAGGCCAGGATTCTGTCCAGGGTCATCATGACAGCCTTGAGGCCCTTTAGCTTGCCAGGAAAAAAGCCAATCTCATCTCCTAGCTTTTCCCAGCAGCCAGCGTGCTCTCTGGGGCTCCAAGAGCCTTCAAGGGGCTGCAGTGTTATCTGCAAGGGGAACATCTCTGTCCAAAGGAGTGTAAAATCAAACTAAAAACCAAATTCATTGCCGTCAGGTTGATTCCATAGGGTTTCCAAGGAGTGGCTGGTGGATTCGAACTGCTGACATTTTGGTTAACAGCCATAGCACTTAACCACTGCTCGGGGAACATCTCCGGCCAAAGGAGAGTGGAGCTTGGATGATGGCAGAGGGGAC